CTTGGAAGACTCCTGGATCCGCGCCTGCGGTTGGGAAGGGGTGTTTGCGGCGCGGACATCGCTGGCTCGGCGAAGCGAGTATCGGCTTGACAGGGGCGGAGATAAACACCCCCAGTCCTCCCCGGATTGGCGCTCCTGACGCAACAGGGTGGTGGGTGGAAGTAGGAAATGGACATGTGGCCGTGGCGCCGAGTTGGTGCGTTGCTAGTGCAGGAGCACTTGCAGTGTAGGCCACAGCTGCCTCGTCGTGCTGCCCTCCTCCAGTTCGGCGCGCATGGCGGCATGACGCGGCGAAGTGCTCCTGGACGTCCCTCGCATTGCACCGCGGGCCTGCAGGGCCCTGGCCCGCCCGGCCGGTGTAGTGGTCGCGGTCCGATAAGATTAGTTTACTGGCGTTTTGTTGAAGGCGCGGCGGGGGAGGCTGGGGAAGGGGAAAGGGTGCACCTGGCCCATGACGCATCGACGCATCTCGCTTGTGTGGTGAGAGTGAGTGTGTGCGTCCTTTTATCGTTTTCGGCGTTTCACGGAGGGGGCGGCGATGAGACACCGAATGGAGTGCAGGCGTCCCGCCGCGGGGCGGGGCGGGGCGGGGCGGGGTGAGGTGGGGCGGGTCGGAGGCGATAACGCCCTGGCCCACTCTATCAGAGACCACTGGCCCAGTCCCGCGGCGCCCCGCCCTCTTCGCCCGTCGTTGCTCCTGTCTGCGCGCTGCTTTTGTTTTTGTTGTTTTGATGTGAAACATCGTCCTAGCATCACTGCATCAGCAACTGTATGAAAGAAGCGTTGTCCGAAGCCAATACTAAGAAACTGTAATAATGGTGGGAGGCCAAAGTTCGTCTGACCGGAAGTTACGGGCGGCCACTGCGTCCGACTTGAGGTGGATAATGGCACTGCAACGAGCAAGGCATGCGCGAGGCGTCGACCAATGGATTGCTCTCCCTAACTAGGTAGGGTCACACGCTCGTTTCCAGTCCTGTTTACCGACTTTGGAGCTCAAAACACGTCTAGAAATTTGGCCGCCTCCACCGCGGCCTTCTGGCCCACTGTGCGATGGCAGTGCTCGGAATCCATCGCGGGCCGTCGCTGGCGCTGGCAGTGGCGCAGTCTGGCGGCCGAATCTGCAACTGTCCCGTCGGCGGCCTCGCCGTGCCCTAGCCCGATGAACTGCCTCAACATTTTGCCCTCCAGCTCGACAAGCGTTTTTCGTGTCTCAACGAACGCGGCGCCAACCGACAGGCAACGCTCGTCTCTGTAGTCGGCCTGTTCGCACCTTGCGCCTAGAGTGAACAGCAACGTTCAAAACGCGAATCACCATTCCCTCGCGGTGGCGGTAACACGCCGCACCGCGCGGTATATATGCGCCGCGGTATCGTTCTGCCTGCCGAGGGTCCGCACTCACCGCCGCTGTCAACCTTGCTCCTAGCGTCGCCTGAACGTCGTTGGACGCTGCCGCCGTGGCCTCGAAGTTGAACCTTATATCCGCTTGGGCGATGGTGGATAGTGGACAGTGGACATTTCAGGGTGCGACGTTGCCAGCCTGCTTTTGTTTATTTACTTCCTCGTCTTGTCACCCACCACAAATGGTGCTCATCTCGTGTTTTAGCCATTTCTAACTCACTATGCAAGAAATGCAGCTGGAGCAGCTTCAGGAAAGAACGCAATAAGTTCAAAATGATGATATTGTTATTGGTGAGCGGCAACGTCGCACTGAACCAGCGCCTTATAACCGGGAACAGACTCTCCTGAAACGTCCACTATCCACTATCCACTAAGGGCTAAGCGGATACGGGGGAAGCCGTCGCCCGAACCGCCGTCGCCGCCGCCTCTCGAAGCAACGCCGTCGCCTCGAAGCAGTGCCATCGCCGCCGTCGTCGAGGGGCCGTCGCCGAAGTATGAACGTCCGTCGCCGTCGTCGCCGCCCGAGAAGCGCCGCCGTCGTCGCCGCAGCTCGAACATGCCGCCGCCGCTACCCACGCCGTCGTCGCCGCCGCCGCACGCATTGAAGCCATCGGTGCGGCATCGAAGCGCCGCCGCCAAGTAGGCCGTCGTCGCCACCGAAGCCAGGCCGCGCTGCGTTCGTTCACGTCGCCGCCGCTCAAAGCAATATCGGGGGTGGGACCATTGACCCTCCTTTTGGGGTTCCTCCAATCCTCTACTTTGTCCTTCATTGCACGTCGGGTACTTGAGAGTCCATTTCTGGCGCGACTCTGGCGGCCGGCGGGCTGCGTGTGTGGGTCTGGGCCGAGGGTCGCGTACGCACCACACGCACTACACGGGGTGCCCGGGGCGTCTCGGCACGCGCGTCCTGTTTCCTTGCTCCCCGGTTTCCACGGAAAGGACCTCGAATAATTGGGGGCGGGTGTCCTTCGTAACCCAGCGCGCTCTCTGTCGCACACGCGCCCACTGCGGGCCGCGGCACTCGTGTGCGAGCGAGACAGGGCGATGGGACGACGCTTGGGCCTGCAGCACGCCCTGCAGCAGGTGGCGCGGCGTCGCAGCTGTTGCTGGATGCACGTAGGGCTAGGGATGCTAGGGATAGGGAAGGCACACTGGAAGACTAGGAGGTGTGGCTTGTCAAATTTTCCACGCGGTGGGCCCATTGTGCGCGCTCCATTTAGTTTTGTCATTGTCTCCCCCGCCGAAGGGACCGAAGGGCTGCCCCGGGGCTGGCGGCGGAGGGCCGCTGAAGGGCCACCGCGCGCGCTGCCGGTCGTAAGCCTGTCGTAGGGCTCCACCCTCGCCGCGTGCTGCGCAGGTCGTTCGTTTTCCCGCCCGCGTCTCTGAAAGGTTTTTCAGATCCTCTCAGGGATGGCTGGCCTGACCTGGCGGCCGCCCTGCCTGCGGGATGGCTGCTGAGAAAGTGTCGCCGCCGTCTGCAGTCCGTTTCGACTCCCTCCAGCGGGGCTGAGACTCGCCCCTGCTGCTGCCAAGCGGCAAGGGCCTTGTGTTTGCAGTGTATGCGCAGATACACTCTGCGTCGCTTTGCGTCACATCCACACTGAGCTAGACAGCGAGCTGCACACGTCTGGTCGAGTCGGTGTAGTGGGTGGCAGTAGGGCACTGTGGAAAGAGAGTCCCCCCCCCCCTGCCCTCCCATATGGAATGCCCCACACCTTGTTATTGGGTTAATAACCGCCGCCGCCTTGTAAACGGGCCTTTGCCGCGGGGCTGGCGGCGGCTAGAGGCGCTAGAGGCGCTAGAGGCGCGGCGCCGTGTCAAAGGATGCGCCGCGTGTATACACGGCCAATCTGCACCGCCCCCTCCCCTTCCCCCTCTTTGCGCCCCGCGGCTCGTCGGAAGTCGCCGCGCCTCGGACCGGATAATCGGATGTACAGGCCCAGTCAAAACGACGACTCCGCGCTTTAGCGAGAACGGGCCGCCAACTTTGAGTCGGGAATGTTGCAGCGTACCAGAACCAGAGAGCAACCATGCGTATCTTTGTTTTTACTCCGTGAAGTTGTGGCAGCCGCCGCGCAGTAGTGCCCGACAGTGTGCTGCCGCCGGTTGTCTCTCGATTGCCTGTACTTGGGGCCGAGGGGCCGAAAGGCGTCGATGACGCGACGGCCCCGGACCGCCCGCCGCGCTCGCCTTATTACGGGACGGCCTTCTTGCAGTGGGGCGCCGCGACGCGTCGGGGGTCCCCGGTGTCCCCTGGCAGCCCGGCAGCCCGCCTGTCCGCTGGGTGTCCACTGGGTGTCATCGTCGTCTGATGACACGGCGCGGCCACGGGGAGGGGGTGGGGGTGTCGAGAGGACGGCGCTCGTCCCGCGGGGCTGCAAGGGTGGATCCAGAGACGGTTTCAGGGGGGAGGGATGAAGCGGAAGTTGTCTACTACTTACTGGGGAAAAGTGCGACAATTTTTCGAAGCGACGCCTCGATTTCCCCCCCCCCCCCCCAATCCGCGCCTGCTGGCTTTCATTGGAGTTTTGTTTGTTTATTTGTAAGAGTGCATCAGTCGGCGGATGATGCGTGTGATACTTGCCGGTGTCGCTGGCGTCTCTATCCTCGTTAGCGGCGCGGCTGTCTATCCGTCTATCCGGTCTATTCCTGGTGGCCGCCATAGAGACATAGACACAGCGGCAGGGCCCAGGGCGTCGCCCACGCCGTCGGCGCGCTCGCCTTTATATATTTCGTCTGGCGGAGAAAGAAGGGAGAAAGGATTGGAGGTGCCGCGTCTGGTGGACGTTTCGACGGTCACCTCCAAAGTCCGTGCCGCCCTGTGCTCCGCAAAGCCGAGTGTGCGACAGGTGTGCAGTGTACCAGAGTCCCACGTGTGGATACCTGCTCCACGTGTTTGGGAAATCGGGATGGTTGTAGAAAAGTCGTTTGTTATCGGAGTAGCAGACTTTTTAAGATATTTTCGCCCTGAAATTTTTCCCACCCCTTCCGCGCTGGCTATCCAGGCGGTCACTCACCCGCTCCCCCAGTGAACTCAAATGTCAGCCAAAGGGGAGGGGGGAAGGGGGACTGCGTTTGGGGCGCGTGGTGTTGCCGCCCTTGGCCCTCGATGGAGCACTGCAGGGCACAACCGCCCACCACGCCGTCTGCATGCCGTCTGCCGTCTGATTGCGCTCGCCCCGCTCGCCCCCGGGGCTGCGACTTGGCGACTTGCTGTGGTTCCTGCACCTTGGATCAAGCGTGGAGTGTCAGCAGCACCGTGGTATCAGTGACAGTGGTCACTGACAACTGCTACCCTCCCCCCTTTTTTTCCCTTTCCCTTTTCCCCCTTTTTTATCCTCCCGGTGTGACGGAGATGGTTGTGGTTCGGACGTGCCCTGCCCGTGTCCTGCTGCTTCCCCCCTCCCCCCGCGGTTAATGGACTGGCCTTCCCCGCCGTTCATAGCCCCTTCAACCCCATCCACCCCCCAAAAAACCTTCGCTGGTTCTTTTGTGGCCGTCTTTGCTCGGTTGCCTGGCGTTTCATTTTCTCACAGGGAGGAGGAGGAGGCGTGACATTGTTTCGAATCGCGAATTAAAGTTTTTGCTCTCGTTTGTTTCAGGTGTGGCCTTGCGGCAAGATGGAGTTTCGTTTCTCTACCTCATTCTGCTGCTTTACCTCCCTTTTGTGCCACTGCCCACATCCAGAGACGCCTGTAAGTGCCTTTCCTTGACAGGTTTAAGTGAATAAAGTAAGCTCTTTGCACTTTCATTTATTTTTCGTATCATTGACACGATTGTGTTCTAGGCCATGCCGGGCGTTACCTGAAGACTATAATAGCTATGGGGAGCTTGGTGTCTTTGGGGAAGCTCATATTCCAAATAGTTCTGTTAAGTATGCCCCCTTATGCATATTTCCTGCCAAATTGTGAGTAACAACGTTTCTTTGTGAATGTTGAGAAAGACAAGATTGTACCAGGCTATAGAATAAAAGTAACCAATATTTTGTTGTTATTTTTGTTTTTAAATTGAAGGTGAGGACTTAGAAGCAGCTCTGAGAATAGCAGGGCTGGTACGTTTAGACAGCATTGCTGCTGTCGACTGCATGAGATGGGTTCTGCCAGAGACTTTGCTGCTTGCCACCTCCCTCTCTCTTTATGTTGTGTGTGTGAGACCAAGAAAGAGAGATCCTGAAGAGTGCCATGTAGACGTAACAAGAACAGACAGCAATACAGAAAGTCAAGATCCAGCCATGAAGTCAAAGTTTAATTTTCTCACTGCCATTGGTAATTCACTCATTTTTTGCTTGTATCTTTCTTTATTACCCATGTCTTTTTTTTATAATTTCCTTTTTTTCACCAGGAAAGTATGTTGTTCTCTGTGCTCTGTGTGTAACCGGAGCGGTGTGCCCGTCCGTCCTCAATATGGTGTACTATTTGTCCTTCCTTGTTGCTACCACATATTGGTCTTGTTACCGGCAACTAGGGAGTAAATTTGCAATTGTTTGCAAGATTTTGCAAGCCTTTGCAGCCATCCATTTGGTGGTACTGTTTTTAGTGCAAGTTCCTTGGCCCGAAGCATGGTTTAAAATTGATGATGATATTGGAAGGTATAGTCGCCAACTTGCAATTTCAGTAGTTCTTTTTGTAAAGAAGGAAGTTTGAGGTGTCCTGTAAAGTACGTAATTTTTTCATCTTTTGTTGCCAGGTATCTTTCTCTGAAACCAGTGTACAAAACAAACTGCACAGATGATCCACGTACTTTGATAAGTCAAGACCAACATTGGAATATTTATGTGAACCCCTTGGCGGTACTTATTTTATACTTCATTCTTGGATATGAGTATGCCCTTCTCAGGAGACCTGTGGTAAGCAAACTAGGAAATAATAATATTTTTTTTGGCACGTTCTGTCCATCAGTTTGAGGTATTCACTCTGAAATAGTTCTACAATGGATTCATGTGGTGCATATGCTGCAGAAACATCAGTATTCCATAAGGTTCTATCCATTTTCTGGTGCTGTGGTTGGCAATCGTGTGGCATTTGTGGTTTACAATTGTTTACTCATCCTATAGAAGTCATTGTTGCATGATTCTGTGTGCTATTTTTGAAGATTTATAGTAACAACTACTGATGTGCCATTCATTGGAAAGTAGACACAAATCGTAGGAAGGCACAAACCCTTAACTAATGAAAATTCTTTCTTTTCTACTCTAATGAAACTTTTGTGGTAGTATGTAGTTTTTGATGTATTTTCTTTTCCTTTGTCAAAGACTGACCTAGTCACTCAAGCAAAAATATTTGTGTTGGTTGTGGTGATGGTTCTATGTTGTGGTTAATAATTCTTCCAGGATAAAGATTCGGCAAAAGCTGGTGGCATGAGCCGCCAGCTGTCTCTGCGTCTTTCACAGCAAAAGCTGTTTCGAAACTCTACAAGCAGGTGGCGTTCAGCCACCAGAAAAGTTCGTGTATGTAGTGGGTTTCAATTTGTGTTTTAGAGCTTCTGTATTTTAGAAAGACATCTCTGATCTTGTTATCATTTCTCTTTTTCAATCTATTTTAGTAAATTTTTCTTAGGATGTCATATTTCATTTGGTGTAATACTTTGAATTGGATTCTCCCGTAATATTTCTTAGCTTATTTTCTCAGTACAGAGTCTTGTTTTTATAAATGAACATGCCTAATTGGTTTAGTGTAGAGTTAGTTGGTCAAAGATATTGATCTTCATGTTTCGTATAGCACTCTGCTTCTTGATGTCTATCATTTATACATTTCTAGAAATTGCAGCCATTCTTTTGCCTGCATGGGTGATACTTTTTTTTCATCCCATTTTTGAGAAATGTCATTGATGTCACTTTAATATAGTATTTGGTATTTCAGCTTGTCATTCTCCTCAGCCAGGATTTTTTCCTCCATTTCTTTTATTTCTTGTTCCTCATGGTATTGCTTTTGGGATCTGCCATATCAAAATATTGTGTGTCACATTTATCCTGCAAAGGTGGATCACAGCTTATAGAAAAAGTGATTGCGCATATCCTAGCTGCTTTCGTAGCAAAAATTTTAAGTAATTGTTCTTGACTTTCTGATAAGCATTTAAAAGAGATTAAAATCAGGTAGTGTAGATGCCTCATCTTTTACCTATGGGACTGAAACGTCTCCAGTCTGCTAGTCAAATATCTGTAGGCGGAAATTTTTCAGTATTTATCTGAAGTTCCTTTTTATTGCTTTACAACATTGTTGCAGTAGCTGTGTTTTTCTAATGTTTTCTTTTATTGGATGTTTGAAATGTAATTTTTGATTGCATGGAAATTTTCTTCCTTTGCACTAATTTTCCTGCTTGCATTTAACACGCTTCTGTCTTGTTCTTTTCCATCTTCGTTTAGGCCCGAAGTGAGCCCGATTGCCATGAGGAAACGCCTGTATGTATATATGGTTATCTTATCTTTCTTAAAAATTAATTGTAAAGCATATCTTGAAGTGCTGGCAGAATTGATGAAACCAACGCAATGATAATAAGTAGAGAGGGATTTAAGTGCTAAAGTGGTTCTCTTCCTGGTTAAATTTCAATTATTTTTATTTTTTATTTTTTGTATCTCGCTTTTAAATCAGTTTTATCTCTCTACTTGTTTTGTGTTGAAGTTAAGACTTGTCAATAAGGTGTACTGCCTGTCATAGGGATATTTATAATTCCCAACGTGTTCTGTAGGACATTTCAAATAAACCCTAAATTTCCCGCTCTGTTCGCTATCTTAATTGCTACTATATGTTGTCGCTCTTTTTCAATTTTTGCGTCGCAACTTGGAGGACTACGAAATATTTGTAAGAATACCAATATTTTCTGCACTTTTTTAGTGATGTTGGCCCACTCGTTTTTAATTTGTTTTTTAAACCAAAAGTGACTTTTTTTTTTCTTTGTAGTTTTTAGTAGCAGTGTATTGATTGCATCAAGTTTTTGCTCTTAATACTTTAATAGTTAGTAGGTAGATACGTTTATGCTGAGTGCATGTTTGCACCTTAGTTGTTGCAAGTCTTCACTATTGTATCTCATTTTTATGAGATTTTATGTTGATAATATTTCAAAGTCTACTTTTATGTATTGTGTACCTTAAGTTTCTGTTCTTCAACCCCTGTTTTTCCTATTTAGTTGATTCAGGGAGCTCTTCCGACCAAATACCATACCACACGAGGAAGGGGACAAGGTAGTTCTCTTGACCTTGGAGCGATATCTGTAATTGAAGGAACTAGTGGAAGAGAACGTGCCGAGTCGATCCAGTTGTTCCCGATTACTGATGCTTTGCAACTGGAAAAAAGTAATACTCCTGAAGAAATAAGCTTAAATGAGGCCTTAAGGTGTGGAATTATTGATAAATTACTCTTTTGACTGCACAGGTGATGAGATGGGTGACCATTGGCTTGATAAGCTTCTAGATTCAGTGGTAACAGTTTTCCAGTTGATAATCAGATCATCTTACATTGCCACAAATATAATGATGATGGTAATATATAGTACTTTATTTGAAAGAATTGCCTTTTCCCAGAAAACATCATTTTTTAAAACCTCTTTAAATTCTGTTACTTACAGACCTGGAGTATTACATACCATTCCTGGCTGACTTTTGCTCTTCTTTTGTGGGCATCTCTGCTGTGGATGGTTCCAAATCAAAGAAGATGGATGCTGCATTGTTCTCCTTTCCTTGTGCCGTATGCTTTGTTTTTACTGCTTGCCCAATACCTGTATTCGCTTGATTTGACGGAGGCTGAGCTTCCCGAAAATGTCAACTCAACCATCAACCTGAAACAAATAGGTTTTGAGAGACCTTTAAATGTATCTCCAAGTAAACCTGTCCTCATCAAGGTATGGGCTCCAGTGCTTTGGTATTGAAATGTCTCATTTTCTTTGAAATTCTTGTCATGGTGATGCTAACTCTTACTGCCCCAAAATATTTAGAGTCTGTATACTGTCATGTTTTGGATAACATTACGCCAGTATATGCAAGAAAGGTGGCAAGCCAGAAACACATCTGCTTTAGCAGACATGGCAGCACCCCTTCAAATAACAGTAACAACTGCTACTTCAGGTATGTCAGGTATGTGTGGTGTGACTGCCATAACAATTTTGTTTACAATAGAACAAAACTGGAAAGGCTTGTGGAAAGGATTTTGTATTCATTGATTCTTGATTTGGTTCTCTTTACAGGAATGCAATCCCCACCACCTACTGAAGCTACTTCTCCATTCATGCGCCGTCTTGGTGTATATGTGAAAGAGTTGTTGACGAAATTCTGGATCTGGATTGTTGCTATCATGCTCTTTGTGATCGGAATAACTGGGGACAAAATGACAGGCTTCCGAATTGTTTATATGGGGCTATTCTTGGTGTTTATTCTCACATTCAAGGTACAGTGTCTTCTCTGGGCAAACATATCTTTTTAACTTTGAAATTTAGCAAAGGTTTTTTTTTAATTTAATTAATTTTAAATTTTTGCTTTAGCTGTCGTACATGGCATGGAGACGAATGTTGTATGGTTTCTGGTTAACTGTTATTGTGTTTTCAATGATAATATTGGTGCTCATTTACACCTACCAGTTTGACAATTTTGATACTTATTGGCACACATACCTGGGTATACCTGTTAAATTGTAAGTTGTGCAGCAAGAATAATTATTTGTTACCTTGAATGACATGTATAATGGCTTTGCTGATTTCATATTTTTTTTCTGTTCAGGCAAGCAGATATTGGACTTCAAAAGTTCCACACCAAAGACTTGTTTGTTCGATTAATTACTCCCACATTTTTTGTCATTATAACTGCAATCCAAATGAACTACTTCCATAAAGATTTTCTTGCTATATCTGATATCAAGAGCAGGTATGATTTTGCCCATGAAAATTAGAAACTTAGTCTTATCTAGTCTTATCTTATCTTAGTCTTATGCACATGATTTTATTTCTAACTTTATGAACTCTCCTCCACTCGCCCTCATTAATGAAAAAGAGGAGTGAGCTTCTCCCAACAGTCACGAGGCAGAACTTCACACAAATCAGACACTTCTTCCGAACCTGGTGGTGCACCACGCAGTGAAACTGATGGAGCATCAACTGCCCCTTCACAACGCAGGGGGAAATATAATGTCCTTCATCGTCAGTGACTTTCTTCCTTAGACGTTTCAATTTCTCTCAATTAAATGACATGTTCATAATATTTTTTGAATTTTTCAGATATCTCTTCTTTACGAGGAAAAAGAAGTCTCCAGCAGGGAATTCATTTGTTGAAACAGCTTAATGAACTTGGATGGTTGTTTTTAGAACTGCACATATCAAAACTCATGCTCTTGACTGTAATGCTTTTGTGTATCGCTGTGGTGAGTATTGTTGAGTTTCCTTGCTGTCTCCCTTCCACCTTAAAATCTTGTTTTGATTTTGTTTATCTGATTTACTTTATAGCCTTGTGCCCTCCACTTCCTCATGGTTCTTCTAATAGTGATCTCCTTGGCTTTAAGTAGCAGAGCTCAGGACATAGCCTGCAACATATGTTCTGTGTGGGTTGCTCTCCTAATGTTAGGAACCATGATTTATCAAATTGAGTACATTGAAAAAGAAAATTGGGATTATACGTGTACTGTAAGTCTTGGTATTGTTATTGTACCCCAAATAACATTTTCCTCTTATCATTACTGATTTAAAACTGAGTCCTTTATTTCAGCGACACAAATTAAATACAACATTGGATCAAGTTTTAGAATACAATGTGACTCTTAACAATGCAGTGTGGTTGGGATTCCGGAAAGCCACTGCTGAAGTTGGTTTGTCTGATGTTGTCAAGGGTTACATTGGTGAGAATCACATTTGAAATGTTTGCCAAATCCAAGAGATACCCAGCAATTTTGTTTAGTAATATATTGAAATTTCGCTTCCAGGTGTCATTTTGGTTGCTTCTTTTGTTACTGTTGTGAACATACATCAGTCATACAAGAGATCTTTAAGAGGCCGTTCTATAAGTAAACCTCAGTACATGTTTCCACGAATAACTCGAGCAGATGCTGATAAAAATATTTTAAGTTGTGTGAAATATATTCTCAATTATGGCTTCTATCGTTTTGGGATTGAGGTAAGCTGATCTTTTTTCACGATGATGATAAAAAAATATAATTGCACGCCAAAAGACAATACAGAATATAACTCTCAATAGTGTGTGTGATTATTTAGTGTGTGATGTGCTTTTATCATGTGATTGTATGGTACATATCACTGTGATTTTATGTGATTCATGTATGACTGTCTCTGATATGTCTTATCTTAAACAAATTCGTCCTCACCAGATATGTATGGTAGCAATGGTTGCTCTCATTGGGACAAGGGTGGACTTTTACGCCATGCTTCATGCCATCTGGCTCTTAGCTATATTTGCTATGAAACGTGAGCATGTTGCTCGACTTTGGACTGCATACACAGCCTTCATAATAGTGTGTATAATTATTCAGTACATAATGGTGGTTGATGTCCCCCCTTCTTTGTGTGTTGGTAAGTTGCTGTAAAATGTTTTTTTTTTTTTTTTGTACTTAAGTCTTTATTTAATTTAATAGATACTTATTTGATTCTGTTTTGTTCAGACTATCCCTGGGATATGAACAACATGTTGAAGGGTCTTCAAGAATGGATGTTTTTGCCAGACCCTATCAGCAAACCTGAAATTGGCAAAATAGCTTGTAAGTAAATTTAAAGTAGTTGTTACTTTTTATTTGTGTAGAAGAGGAAGAAATCCATTTATCTTAATTCCATTATGTTTTGTCTTTTTTCTGTACTTTAGGTGATTTCATTCTACTTATGTTTGTGTCATGTCAAGGACTGGCATTTAGGATTGAAAGGAAGTATCCAGATGGTAGCTTCCCTGGGGGAAGCAATGCCAGCATTATTCATGAATATGATAATAAAGAATTTGTTAATCCGGTACCAGACTATATATCCTCCATAAGGTTGGTCGTTAATATCTGTTAATTGTTGAGGTATTATTTGTGTTTTGAATGTTTGATTTTGATTTCTTGTCTCCTGTCAATCCAGATCGTGGTTAGATGTTGTTAAACGAGGTGTTCTGCTGAGTATGATGTGGCTCACTCTTGCCATCATGTTTCTGGCTGGCACAAACAGGGTTAACCTTTTCTCGCTTGGATATCTCATTGGAGCATTTGTGTTTTTATGGATGGGCAGTGACTTATATTTGAGAGATATTCGGGTCATTCATAAATGGTATGATAACTTTCTATTTCGGCTTCAATGTCAAAAGCATCTTCAATATCATCTCGTTACATTGCTTTTCCTGTTGCAGGTGGAATGCTCTGTTGGGTTACAATGTGTCAGTTATCTTTCTTAAAACTCTGCTCCAAGTAATTGGGTGTATCTTCATGGAGCAGGTCCAGTTAAATGCCTGCTGGTTTGTTCAACTTCTGGGCATTGCTTGCATAAGGAAATTCCATTCCATCCTTCCAACATTTGTTGGTCAACGTCAAGAATCATGTAAGTCAGGTTGAAAGTATTTGGTTGTACTTAAAACCTACAAGTTAAAGAAAATTTCTTGATTGTCTACAGATAATGGCTGTACCGTTAACTTGGAGAGCTATGGCCTTGCTTGGGATGGTGTCTGTTTTGGATTTTTGCTACTTCAGCGTCGTCTGTTCAATTCCTATTACTTCTTCCACATTGTTGATGAAACCAAAGCTATGACTATCTTGGCATCAAGGTTTGATATTATTTAAAATCAACTGATCCAGTACTTAGTTTAGTAATCTCACTACATTATTTGTTGTTGTTCTCCTCAGGGGGGCTGAGCTCATCGAAGAATTAAGGCAAAAGCAGATTATGGAACAAATGGAACGTGAAAACCAAATATTAGAAAACATAAAGTTCAAAATGGAGCGCATCAAAGCATCTCAAATGAAAGTTCCAGGGCCTTCATACCATGAACCAAGCAGCCATTTCACTGGTAAGTAAATACTCACTTCTACTTTTAGTAACATGTATTATTACCCAAAATGTGAGCAATTATTGTGTGGTTGTTTGATTTGTTGTTTATGGGAGTTATGGAAGTTCAAACCTGCAAACCAAGGTTTATCTACCAAACCCAGTATGCTTACTTCTGGGTCGAGTTTGTGTTTCTGTTGTTTGCATTTTCCCATTTTACATGGTTCTTTTGTTTTTTTCATTTTTTGTGTTTGGTTTTGTGTTTTTATCACTAATTTGATACAATTACTAACTTTTTTTTTTTTTTGTTATAATTTTTTTAAATTGTGTCGGAAGGTTAAAGGTTTTCCACTTATGCTCACTCTTACTATCCTTATACATTTTGATGTTGTTTTTATTGGATTTGTTGTATTACACTTGGAGGAATTGCTGCGGCTCATTTTCATTAGATGTCATTTTGCCTAGTGCACTCTCATCCCCATCAATACACTCTTTTGGTATCCTATACCTCACACCAACTTTTTCTCATCTCTTTTTCGTTAGCTTCGGGATTTCCAATTCATTGTGTGGCAGTGTGTGGTGTCTCTCTCCATTGTCGAACCACTACGGGTGGTCCTTTTGTCGCGGTGCCTAGGTATTTGCGGGAACTATGATCCCATGGTTTTCGCACCAAGTGCAATGTGAGATTGCACTTGCCGGACTCTCACTCCATCCTGCGACGTAACTGTAACTCAATTCATTGAAACAACTTTCCCCCTTCCCTCCTCTCCCCCTCCTCAATGCGCGAATGGCGTGAATGGTGCGCTCTCTCTCTCGCACCCTCCCTGGTCGCCTCGGGTCCTGACCGTCCTGGCCCCAGACTCAGCCGCAGCAGGTCCTTCGCCGCGCTCGTCGACCACCGGGTCTCCCGCAGGGTTCCACACCCCCGTGGACGACGACGAGGAGGAAGACGACGAGGACCTGCCGCCGCTGACGCCGCGCACCGGGTCGCTGCTGCGCGCGCAGGCGCCCACGCCGTGCTCCGCCATCATGACGGCCGACGGCTACCTGGAGCCGCAGAGGGTGTCCTTCGGCAGCCCGCCGACGTCCGAGCTGCTGCCCAGGATCCCCTCGCTCGACGACTCGTTCCCCGTGTTCTCGCCGCCCCCCTACGGGTCCGTGGTGCCGCGCTCCAGGCGGCTCTCCAGCCTCGGGGGCAGTGGGGGCGGCGGGGGCGGCGGCAGCGGCGCGTCCGCCTGGAGGCCCAGCCTGTCCTCGCCCAGGGCCTCCATCTCGAGGTCCTCCACGCACTCGCACCACACATGTACGGGCCCTGACCACCGTCATGAGAGGAGGCCCTGGCAATTTGTCGTGGTTCTAAAATTGAAAATCGGCCACCCTTTCTATGTGGCTTGTTAGATTGCTTTGGTCGTTGATTAATGTTTGTCTATCGAAATTGAAGTGTATTTGTTGCTGGGCCCGAAATCAGGGTTTCCTCTCATGCTGTTGGCGTTCCTTGTACATAATGTAATTTTTTCAACAGTGAATGTTCTAAGTGCATTCTTCAGAAAGTTCTCTGAAAAATGGATTCCTTTGTTATCCTCCTATATTATTTATTTATTTATTATTATTTTTACTAGCTTTTCTTATCTTTCCTTCTTTACCCTGCATTGTAAAAAAATGTACAACGTGTTGGTGCTGGCCTTTGACTGGTTGCATTGACTTGCCTGCTTGGAAATGATATTTGAGTCATCATGTGTATACTGTTTTGTACAAAGCTTTCATATTTTCTGTGTCTTTTTTTTTTTTCTCTTCTTTTTCTTGTTTTATGTTCAATTTGCTACTCGTCACCAAGGTTTAAATTTTCATTGCTGGTTTTTGCCAGTTTCCTCGAGCTGTGTGTCAAGGGCAAACAAGACGTGGGATACTGCAACAGTTGTGAGGCGATCTTACACTCACCGCAAGTAGCCCGTTCTTGATCGCTAGTATCAAACATACCTTTTATAGCAGACTCCCCTTTCTTAATATTTTTAATAGTGCTGCTTCCATGACTGCCATCTGGTAGAGCATGTTCAGCAAACAGAGCTCACACAGTTATAACATAATTTCACACAATCATTACATATTTTTGGGTGTTTTGCTGGGTGTTGTGACTGGTCATTCCCTATTTAGTTTTACTTTTGGATTTGATCGATTCACTCTGAATGACTGTGGACCAATTTTAGCTGTGTGAGGTATCAACTACAGCTTTGCAGTTCCATCTTATTCATTTTGTGTATTTTTTTCACAAATACAGTAATTGTTTAGCTTGTTTATTTGCTCTGTAAAAAAATTCGATGCTCTCTATGTTCAGTCAGTTAAGAGCGCCTTGTGCTTTGTACTCTCCATGTGCATTTTATTTAGCCTTTTATTGTTATTTTATATGCCTTTTATTCTTTAATTCCTTTTCGTCTCTATGACAGCTGTAGAAATACCGGCTTCAACCTTTAAATGTTGACAGCAATTTGTTTACCATTTGTATTTTGGCAGAGTAAATTGTGGATTTAAAAAAATAAAAACTAAAGTTTGACATGATGTCAGAGTGTGGAGATGCTGCTGGCTGTGTTCGCTGCGCCGCTTCTCTGACACCAATCGAAGCTGGTAATTTTGTTCATTGCAAGTCTATCATCGACTCAAATCTCCTCGTGGTGTCATCATTTAGAAGCTTGATTCCTATTCTAGGAACTGTGTTCATTTTTTCTCTCTTTTGTGATGGTGGCTTGTGCTTCTCCTTTAGTGTGGTGCAAGCTAGCTGTCGCCAGATGCAGCCTGTCCCATACCTTCCTGAGTGTTGCTAACAAAGTGGCAGTTAGCTTCTGGTAAAGTTTACTAAGCGTGTTTTGTATGATAGTTGATGAAACTCAGCACTTTTCTATTTAGACCTGATACCGATTCCACAGCAAGATGATATTAATTTAAATGTCTTGCACTTGCACAACTACACCAATTTTGCCATTTCATATCTTAGGTTTCAATATAGAAAGAGATGCATATAATATAGTTCCTAATAAACCTAAAATTATGTGTTTAGTGTTCACTGTTATTGTTGTACCTGACATTCATAACATTTTAAAATCCACCCTTTCCATTATTTAATAATTTCATGTGTGTCCTGTAGTGCTGCATGATTGTTAAATGATAACAGTTGCACATGTGTATGCTGTTCATATCAATTTAGCACAATTTACTAGAACGAAGTAAAAATATAAGAGCATGTTTAATTTTATTGTAAGACTGATTCATGTTGTGTGATTTACTAGTTTGTTGCTTTGAATATGATTTTGCATTTAATATTTTGTAATTGTTTTCATTTTTAGCAGTGTTTCTATTAACGCTTTGTTCATTGCTCTTCATATTAGCACATTTCTGCTAACAATCTTCCTAATATTTTCGTTATTATTCTTAATAAGCCATAACACTCCCTTGTTGGGATATCTCGTTATCTCTCTGTTCATCTGAGACCAGTTTTATGAGTTTCTCTAATTGAGAGTGATGTGGCTCCTTACATAAAGCACTTTCACCGTGACACCTGGTGAATGTGTTTTATTTTCAACACGTTTCTCACCTTTGTTTCTTTTCCTTAGCTGTCTTATCGGGAGACTACTACATGTTTGAGGATATGCCTGAAGCCGACCTACTTATTGATCCCACTGACGTTGGACGCAAGACACGAGATGAAGAGGAAGACCAACTGGCGGGTCAATTGACAATCAGCAAGGTAAGCGATCACCATAACATGAACATGTAAGCTTGTGAACCACGAGTCCTGTAACTCACGTCCTGTCATTACTGTCCTGCATTGTAATATTTTGGTTGTCAAATCATTCTTATTGTGGAGGAAATTGATGTTAATGTTTTCTGGCCATTAAGTGGGTGTCAAGTTTTTCATGCTTCCATATTTGCCTTTATTATTATTTTTTTTGGTCTTCATCACAGTTAGGATCATTTTATTTCTTGGGTCAAGGAAGCTGATGTATGGCTTTTACTTCCTACTGTGGCACAGTAAAACAGGTTGCATGAGAAATGTGTGTCATTCTTGCCCCGGTTGCATGGGGTTTCAACAACTGCATTGCGTCTCATTTCATATCAGGGTTGCTTGTCTGGAAGCCTTGGATGTACAAACAAATCTCAAAGGGATCATCATTAGCCTTACGTTCTGAAGTCTGGCACAATTTATGAACTGTCACGGTTTCTGGACTGAAGGCCTGCCATGCTTGTTACCCGCTTTGTCTTATTTTCTGGTGTTTACGTTTGGAAGGCTTTTCATGTCTCGAATCTAACCACCCATTTAAGTCTTGATACGTCACTTTGCCATGTGTGACCGTTAGACCATGCACAAATGTCTGGCAATCTGCTTGTCAGTGCTGCATTGTTATGAAGCCCATCATTTCAAAGCAGGTTCTTAGCCAAAGACGGTTTTCTTGGCCGCGTTTCAGCTTTTCAGTGAGGCATTGAAGACTGACATCAAACAAGCTGTGGACAAAGCTCATGCATCGTCAGCATCTGGCACACTGCAGAAGCGAGCATCATTCACTACAGCAGATTCTGAACTAAGCTGTGGCAGCCGAGGAACGCGGAGGAGCAGTCGCAGAAGCAGCCGCAGGAGCAGTCAGAAAAGCGCGGGCCTAGCTGGCCTGGACACTATGCCTACAACTGCCACCTCCACTTCATCAGCACATCTCAGTCCGGTATGCCATTTGCTTTTGAAACACACTTCAAGTCATAGATCGTAATGTTGGAAAAGCAAGTTTTCTTCTTAAATTTATCAGATATCCAGGTAAGTCCATCGCTGGAACTACATTGTGTACACAGATCTCACTGTACCAAACTTTTCTCAAACTTTAAGTTTTGAATATAATTTTTCACATCTGACCTGTTGGGTAGCTTTTCTTGTCAGATTTAGGGTAAATTGGGTTTCCCTGTTGACTTGTTGCTTGTGGCAATTGAGTATGTGCATGATTAAGGGAAGCTGAAGACAATTCATTTGCTAGTACAGTCTTGGATCAACTGAATTTGTGTCCTGCATTTTGCGCACTTTGAATGCTTACTCTTGGGCATGTGTGTTTAAACCACATAAATATTGTTTATAAATTCTCAAGATAGTCATGTGCCAGCAATTTGTCTTTGGTATGAGACCTTTGTATAAATAATTATTTGTGCAGTTTTCAATGTATGGGGTCCTTTTATTCAAGAATTTTGCATCCTTCATTTATTTCAACCATTCCTCAAAAACAACTACATGAAAACAAAAAGAAGCACTTTTGTTTTTCTTGTATATATTTGAAAGACAAATTTGTGTTTATGTTCTCTGGGTGTGTTTTGCACTTTGGTATTGTCATGTTTTGTGGCGTTTCTGTCCGTGGTTGTGTGGTGGATGCTCCTGTAATGTTTAAATATTCCCTAATATGTCACGTCTATCTCACAAAATCCATAACAGAGGTCGAAGTATAAGTTGTAGTATAAATCTTTCCATATTGTATTTCACTTCACTTTTCTTGTATTGTTGTTGAATTTGATTTCCATATTCATTTACTGTTAACAATGTTTCACTAGTGATTATTTATCATCTGGATTTCAGGATGCAGTCCCTCCTACCGACCAGGATGACAGAGATGATCATGGAGACAAAAAACCTCTAGTATCGTCAGAACATGGCTCTAGCTCAGAGGATGGGGAAGAGTTAGAAGCGGATGATGTTGGTGAGTGAAGAGAGATCTTCTTGTGATATTGTTGTTGATGTGTGCTCTTGTTGATGTTGTTATCCATTTTTCTTTCCGCTTGCAGAAGTAAAGCAGGAGTCTTGGATGAACAAAATAAGCCAGCTCCTTCACTTCTTGGTTGTATCTCTGAACTCTGTGATGGTTTCCTTGACTCGGTGGCTAAATACATTTTCTCGAGATTATAGATACGTTTCCAGGGTTCTTGCTGTGGAAAAGAAACTCCTAAAGGTAAACTTTGCACTACAATAAAATTTTAACATCCAGTCTCTTTTCACCCATTCGAATAAATCTAATTTATTGCTTTTTTGCTGTGCAGGAGGAACCTGACTTTGGAGAGGGTAAACGTGTCGGACTCGCTAAAATGTGGCAGCCATCCCCGCAAGCCCTTCAAGTTCATCGCTCAAGGTATGTGATTTCTATGGAATGCAAAGTTATTACACTTAATGTGGGTAAAACATCCAGATGATTTTGTACTTCTCTGGATTTAAAGGATTATGTGTATTTACTTCTTGGCATGCTCTTTCAATTTTCTCTCAATTAATTCTCTACAAAATATGAGGTTTTACAAACTACTGCTTTTCAATTTGGTGTCTTGTTTTGTGGCCTTTTATGGTGTTAGTAGTACAGTGAAGTGCACTTACAATGCTGTTGGAAATTGTGATGCTATCTCCATCTTTTTGCTGTGTTATAAAGTCTCCTTAGCCAGAGCTAAAGAGTGATGCCACCGCACTACTAAGCCTGGTTACATTACTCCGAAGGTTGGACAGATATTTCATTGTGCAACAATCGAGGCAAGTTACTATCACAATTTCCCACACACTGTAAATGAGTTCCCCTGTACTTAAGAAACTTGGCGAATTCCAGAGGACAGAAATAATTTTGGGTTTTGTGAAATAGGTTTGGCCATTCCTTTTTTGGATTGACTTCCCCTTGACTTTGCATGTTTCCACCAACAAATATATTAAAAAATGTATTAAAAGAATGTATGGTAAAAAAGCAAACATCACTCCACTTTTGGAGTGTCAGTTTATCATTAAAAATCCCTCAATGTGATGTACAACTAATTCATGTGGTGTATGATTGCATGTGCGTTTGCTCGCTGTTAGAGAGGAAATGCTTTCCACTAACTTAACTCAACGAGCAGGTGTTGGACAGACAAGTAGCAACTGTGATGTAAATCGAATTCACCCCAGGTAAGAAGTAGTTATAAGAATCACAAAATAAATGCCTTTAGAGGTATAGTGGTACCTTTGTTTAGGTGTTTTGTGTTTTGAGTGTGGTTTCATCAAGTTTTCATGAAAGCTAGCTTAGAACTGCCTTGACACAGTGCATGTGTGCTGCAATTAGTGAATTTTAGGTAGTTTTTAAGTCACATGGCTTTCTTATCTTCTTGGTATTGATATCAAAAATAAATTTGAATGCCCATGCAGGCAGCTGACGAAAGCTGTACTTCCTCTTCCCACTATTCGTGTTCTTTCCCCAAGTCTTGAAGTGGGACTAGACAAACATGTGGAGAGGTATGATTTTGTTTTAATTTTTCTTTCTTTCCTAATTATTTTTACATTGTTTGTCTCATACTTTCCGAATCTTAATATGTTTTTTCTTTGGGTTGCATTAACTTGTATTGAGATTTTCTAAAGTGCATGTCCTGTACAATATATTGCTCTAACAGTTAATGGCATTACACTGTGTTTGTAGTCATGGCTTTAGCATTACTTTCAGGTGCCTTGTCTAGCAAAGGTATGCCTAAGCTCATGCAAATGCATGGATAAATGGAAACCTGCATGCCTGTGTTACCTTATTGCCCAGTTTACTCTGAACTCACAGTTGGAGATTTCAGGCTTTTAAACGTTTTTTTTTTTTTTTTTTTTTTTTTTTTAAAAGCATATTGCCGTATTCTTAACATGCACTGTTTTCATGTTCTAATTTTTTTGTTTACATTTTGATATATTCATTTCTTATCACCATATTTTGATTTCTATTTTCTATTTTTCAGCAATGTTTCTCCTGCAAGTAGCAGTCATCAAGCTGGATTAAGTACAGCAGAGCAACCACCTATTGTCCAGCTATTCCTTTCCTTGTGGTACACAATTGTTTCACATTCAGACCTTGCCTGTTTCTTTATGATATTTTTGCATCAAATGAAGTCAGCCACTATCTTGTCCATTCCCTTGCCCCTTATGGTTTTCTTATGGGGCACTTTAACTGTACCACGCCCATCAACAACTTTCTGGGTAGTCATCATTGCTTACACTGAGGTAAGGTTACTCAAACATTTTCACACCTTGTTCCTTTTCTCACGTGTTTCATTACCATCACTCAAACTTCTGTTTTCTTCCAGGTCATGGTAGTGATAAAGTGTATGTTCCAATTTGACCTTCTGCCTTGGAACCATGAAGATAATGTCCCGTCTACGACAAAAAACCCTTTCTGGCCTCCCAGGATCATTGGAATAGAGAAGAAACCCAATTATGCCGCCTTTGATCTTTCATTATTACTTGTACTGTTTTTCCATCGGTATGTTCCTAAGAGGACTTTACTCTCTTGATCATTCCATGTGCATGATTTGGAATAATCTCAATTAATTCCTCATCTTGTTTTCAGATTTATGTTAAAGTCTTTGGGCCTTTGGAAGTCATTGTATGAAGATGATTCTAACTATCCTCAGGAAAATGACCACTTTGAGATCATGCAGGAAAGCAGTAGCGATGAGGTCAGATTCTAGGAGTATCCCATACCGTTTTTAATTTAAACTTGTGTCATTTATAATTTTTTTTTTTTTTTTTTCAGAAAAAGTCTAAGAAGGATGACAGAGACATGAAGAAGGATGACAGAGTTGTCAGTGAAAGTGCAGACTCCATACGCACTGCCCATAGTGATCCTGGAGCTCGACGTGTATCTATCTGTGAACCAGGAATGCAGTGTATGTGTAGCTTCAGAGGAGTGAGGGTCTCAATTATGTCTTTAAATGTGATCATGAATCCCTGTCTTTGTTCTAGTAACTCACCGTGGATCTCTTAAAACTTTCACCTTATCTGATGGACGTCGAATTAATATGATCCGCCCATCGTGGCTAGAAGATGGCGACCGACAAATTGCTTCATCAAGTGACACCAACCAGGAAGTTTTAGTTGATGGTGCAGCTTTGGTGATGAGCCCAGTTGACTCAATCCAGAGCAAACAAATTCTTGTTGTGAAGACATTCAGAGAAAATGCAATGGATCGTTTCCCATCCATTTTAAAGTTAACGTAAGCTTATATTGTTTTGTTTCGTATCAATGTCTCAAAGAACTAACCATATGAGAATCTTCACCTTTCTTTGTTTTTACTTCTGGATTACAGGTGGAAACGCTACTTGACTTCAATGAGAACTTTCTTCAAATTGCTTTTAGACCCAGGATCTAGAGTGAATGCAGATGTATATGCCTACATGTTCATGTGTGATTTTTTCAACTTTATGGTCGTCATTTTTGGCTTCTCTGCTTTTGGGGTAGGTATATGCATATATTTCAAATGTATTGGGAATGTTTTGATTTGATTTTAACACTTTTCCTTTACAGTCTGCAGCAGGTGGTGGAAGTGTTTCTGAATACTTTGAAGAGAACAAAGTGCCTGTTCCATTCTTAGTTATGTTAATACTGCAGTTTGCGTTGATCATCATAGACCGCACCCTATATTTGCGCAAATATATTTTAGGAAAAATAATATTCCAGTGTGGTCTTGTTGTTGGAATCCATATATGGATGTTCTTTATTTTGCCTGGAGTAACAGAAAGGTAAACTACTTGCTTCTGTTTCCTTTTTTGGTCCTGCACCCTGATTTCATAATGGCTAAAAATAAATTATAAATTGCAGACAGTTTAATGACACCTTGCCGCCTCAAATGTGGTATGTCGTGAAGTGCTTTTACCTTCTATTGTCAGCGTATCAAATCAGGTCAGGATATCCAACTCGCATCTTGGGCAACTTTTTGTGCAAAGCATACAATTACCTGAACATGTATCTTTTCAAGCTGTGAGTAGAGTTTCTCCCATTTCAATGATTAAGTTTGGGAACATCAGTCATCTTGATAAGGCTTACTATTTCAGATTTATGATGATTCCATTTGTATTTGAACTGCGTGCACTCATGGATTGGATGTGGACTGATACTTCAATGTCTCTTATGGAGTGGCTGAAGATGGAAGATATATTTTCTCAACTTTTCCAACTCAAGGTACATTTAGCTGTTAGGTAAACTTATGTCATAGGGTTTATGTTTTTAGTTTCATAAATACATTGCAACTTTTCTTTTAATTTAGTGTGAAAGAAGAGCTCAGACAGAGTATCCTCAACCACGAGGAGTTCGGAAAAATGTTATTGTAAAGTATCTAGTCGGTGGTCTTGGCCTGTTCTTCATTATAGCCATTATTTGGTTCCCACTGGTGCTGTTTGCTTTGGGCAACACTGTAGGAAGCCCCAACTTGCCCTTGAAAATGACGTTGCGAATGAGGCTTGGTCATTTTGAACCAATCTATGACATAGCTGCTGAAGGAAATCAGATCAAAGAGTATGATTTTTAAACCTCTTTTAATTCTCCCTGATTTGAAAATAATTAAATCAACTACTATTTTCCTTTTTATTCTCTTTCTATTCATCAGGTACAATGAAAATCAATGGCTTGGTCTGAACACTGTTTACCGTCAGCATCAAACAGCTCAAAATTTCCTATCAAACTATGATAATCAGGCTGTGGCAATGATTCTATTTAACATACACTCTGGAAGTTTGTGGACCATAACTCCTCCTGACTTGATGAAGTTAACAGAAGAAGTTGCCTCAAGTAAGTGTTTATGGATGTTAATGTCCTTAGCACGTTTCATCTTATCACGCATTAATATCACTTAATTTCACTTAGCTATGCCTTTCAATGTTACAATTGATTGGCGAGTTGAGCGTCGTCAGAGTAGTCCTGAGGATAAGGGCTATTCAGAAGGGACGCACACTATACATCTACCTGCAATTTTGGATGGAAAGAGAAATCCTGTTCGATTAGATTTACAGAAGGTAATGTGGACTGGTCATAAATATTCTATGGGCTTAATGATTGTCCAAAACTTCTAATAATTATGTTGTTTCTCTTTTTCTTTATCAAGGTTCTGGAAGCAGCTCTGAGTGTTTCTTCTTCTTCTGTTGGTAACGCATCAGAGAGCATACCAATTGTAATTCCTAATCTCTTGCCTAAGTTAATTAAAGTAAATAGCAATGGTGCCAACGCTGTTCAACAGTTACTACCTGGAAAAGGTGAAGAAGCATTTTCTTCAATCATTGTTTTTTATTGCAGCATGGACCATAAAAGAATTGACTAATAACACACATGGGTTAATTTACAGATGCTAACACTCAGTACCGGGATGTTTTTCTCAAAATGAATTATGCTAATTCCACACAGAGGTGGTGGACTGTTTTGGAAGACTGCACTGATAAAACATACCAGGACATACTAAGAAATATCCCCTCTGCTGGGGCAGAGTCTAGCTGCAACCAGACTCTATTAATTTATACATTTAATGATAAAACTTTCCCAGCAACCCTCAGTGTATTTTCCGGAAAAGGGTAAAAAATAAATTATCTGTTCACCTGTTCCTTGAATTGTTTGACATTTCTTAATTTCTGTATTTTCATGTATTTCAGAATCATTGGGCTCTATGCTTCATTTGTGTTAGTGGCAAGTCAATTTGTGCGATCCTTCTTCAGTAATTTGTCTTCAAAAATTATGTTTGAAGACTTGCCAAATGTTGATCGGATTTTGCAGGTAAGTTTCTACGATCGAGCGTGTGAGTAATGTTTCAAGGAAACTGACCTGTATTTTTAATAATATTTTTCAGCTTTGCCTGGATATCTACCTTGTCCGTGAGAGTGGAGAATTGGACCTTGAGGAGGACTTGTTTGCAAAACTTGTGTTCTTGTACCGATCTCCAGAAACTATGATAGAATGGACAAGAGAGCGAAAAGAGGGAGATGAGAGCTCACCTGAGGCTTCAATTGCTCAAGAATAAAGTACCACCTGAACACTCTTCAATTATTGTCTCAATTACCAGTGAAATTTAGGGGATACCAGTGATACTATGACTGTATGACACTTGTGAAGTAACTAGTCCAAGTATACATAAAGTTAATGCACTTTTACCAAATTTATTTTTGAGTGCTTGATTTTTAAAGAGGCACAGCTCATAAGTGGTGCTCACACTTTATATCCAGTGAATGTTTGCCATTGTTGTAAAGTTTTTCCACAACTAGGATATATGTACCTGCCTACAATTTATTTTACAATTAATTTAAGTGATTTTGCATTTTTGCTGAATGGGCAGCACCCATCATTGGCTGACAGTGCAGTTCATTTGTATATCTGCTCTTAATTCTCAATCACTTCTTTTGAAGTCACTAAGTTATGTGGATGATCCTGTTAAATGAATTTGTCATATAAAGCATGCAGGATGATGAATTTGCTCTACTTTTTTATACTGATTGAATCTCTGAATATTTATTGGTTGTGAAAGTCTGGCATTCTTAGTGTCATCATTGTTGTATTTTACTTTCCTTTAATTATTAAGAAGTCTTGTATATGTTCATGATTTGAAAACCAGTCTGCAACTTCTAACAGGGTAACGTTTGTGCTTCTGTTAGTCATGCCAGTGTTCTTGTCTGTATGGATTGGTTCTAGTAAATTTTTCAAGAATCGTGTATACCTCACACAACCAAACAGAATACACACCTCTGGTGGAGTGCTAGTCCAATTTTCGTTTTCTTCTCTGTTTTATTGTAATATATGATTGCCAATGAGTGTAGTTTTATTGATAAAGAATTCCAAATGTGAGACTAGTTAAATAGGAACCAATCCTGGTGATGTCTTAATACGCACAAATTTAGTTTAAAAGTTGTGTCCTTTTTTTTGAAAAATGGACAAATATTGTATACATTTTGCATTTGCATTTTGTGTGTTTTGTAATTTATGTGACCGACCCGGACCAAAGACCTTGTAGTGTAACTTCAATTAAGAGCTCCAGATATTGTTTCCTCTCAGTGTTTTGTGATGTTCATTGCATTTGTTCTGTCTCACAGTCAGTGCTGATTGCACTGACAGAAGTTGAATTTGCTTTAAGCATAGATTTTAAGCCATGCAGGCTGTTTCTCAGTTCATGTCACCCAGAAACTTGAGTGACAACCCAATTATTTTCATGATGTCTTTTTCATTAGTCTTTGTTTAAGTAACATGCAAGCCATGCATTCTAGTTTTTATTATTCTCTTAAAACCACTTAATTGTTTAATGTCAATTGAACTTTTTTTTTTTTTGCTTTGTTTTGTTATGGCCTATTAGTTTTATCTGTATCAAAATATTAAGCCTTTGCAGCATGAGGCCCCATTTTATATAGGTCATAAACATATTGAAGCAGGTAGTATGTCAGTAGTTCTTTTAAAATCAAAGACTGACCTTTCCACTTCCCAGATTTGTAGTGGTTTAGTGTCCTCTATGACGAGACATCAGAGTTGACTTGGTAAACTTGACTGTCAAAATGATCATATCAATGTAACCAATCTTTCTTTACAAATGTAGTACAGCACCCATAAATGTACTATTAACCTTATCTATCATAAATTTTGTGCTTAAATACTTTACAATTTCTCACTTGTTGATCTCTTGATATCTTGTTGATATGTTAAGTTGTCTTTTAATTCTTCTAAAAAAATCTAAACTTTAAAGCAACAGAATTGATGATTTAGATACATAATTACTGTGGAAACTTACAGTGGTCCATTGTTTGCCACCCACCCATATTTATTAATTATTTATAAAAATACAAAAGGTTGCCTTGTCAAGAATAAAGTATGAATGAAAGATGAAAGATTCATTCAAATGAAAGATGTATTTTTATTTCTTGCTATGAAAGCCAAGCTACAAAATTTTGAATGAAGCATTAAAGTACACACATAGAAGTCTTTGAAAGCAAAAGCCCGAGCTTGGTTCCCAAACTCTCAGTTCGCTTCTCGAAGCCCACTCTCATCAGGACTTTTCTCACTTTCTGCAGACTGATTCCAAGAACCGTTTTGGTTGTTCTGTCTCTCTCGCACTCATGGGGTGAGCCGTACAGATGGGTGCGAGAGAGATGGAGTGACGAGACGAAATCTGCTCTCGGAATCGGCCAGGAGTGCGCTACACGCTACCCGACAGTGCGCTCGCGGCCACCGCTCGCTGGGCGAGTTCGAAACTCGGAGACGTACTGAGCCGGCCGCGTTTCGCCTTCCGGACCTGTCGGCGGTTTAGGGTTTTTGCCGTGGCCTTCGCTCTGCCGCCCGGCCCGTCGGACTCGGCAGCACGTCGGCCGGCAGGGCGTGGCCGGCGTGGCGCGCGCCACCTCGGAGTGCGTGCAGCGGGCGCTTCCTATAAACATAATAGATAGGCAGTGGCCGCTCAGGACTCAGGAAGCCGTCTGGGCCGCGTCCCGCCCCGCCGTCTCGGGGGCCCGGGGCAGGCCGGGGGGCCCCACCCTCCGGACCCCGTCGGATGCCCCCCATGCCCCGTCCAATTTCGGGCGAGGCGCTTCGGCGGTATAAAAGGCAGCGCGGCGCTCCCCGCGCCAACAGTCGCATTGCTGCTAGCAGATATTGCACTGAGTCGCTCCAGACAACCCAACCCAACCGTCAACATGATGAAGATGGTGAGTACGGACAGTGACGACGACCGGCGGGGCTGCGGCCCGTCGGACGCCTCGTCGGGGAGTTGAGATTCTCTGTCGTTGTGACGTCGAGGTTTTGAGTCATCGGAGGGAAGGCTCTTCTCCGCCGGGATAAAGTGTCACCCTAGTAAGGACGGCCATCGTTTTGCAGTGCAAGCGGGCATGTGTGAAATGGAGTAGATCAGTTGTGGTGTAGCCCGTAATGGTAATGGTAATGCAAGGTAGGCCGCCGCCTCACACCGGTGCGTAGCGCGTTGCGCGACTGATGCCTGCCAGGCGCCACAGGTCGACGAGCAGCGAACGGTACGAAGTACTACATGCGTCCCTTGCCGTTTGAGCCTCGATAGTCTAAGGCCAAATCTGAGTCAGAATACCGACTTGAGTTCAACCGAGTCCTGGGGTCAGTGAGTTCAGGTTGGGTCCAGATCGGGCCGGGGCTCAAACGGGCCATCTTGATGCCAAAAGACGTGACAGCAACGCATTTCCTGCTATTTTGAGATGACTTGTGCCACTCGAAGTTGGCGGCCACCGGACGGCAGCAGGTAGCAGTGCATGGGCTGCCATGGGCAAAACGCCTTCTATCGTGACGAGGCAAAAGTTACCGACGAATGGCGTTTTCGACTTATTCCTGGTTGCGGCGGCGACCGCTATGGCCACGCCACATAGCAGTAGACTGATTCCGAGAGTCGTTTTCGCCGCTCTGTCCTTCTCGCACTCATGGGGCATCCCGAGAGCGAGAGAGTCAAAGCGACGAAAACGAAACGACTCTCGGAATGAAGCCTGCAGGGCGTTGCCGCGTTGCATCAGGCCGTCCCGTGGGACCGCGGGGCGCCGCAGGGCCGTGTGATGGATGCTGGAGGGGCCAACGACGGGGACATAAAGGGGCCCGGTGCGGTGCGTTCACCCCGAGGGCTGCCTGCCCGCCTGCCAGGCCGGTCCACGGCCCCGGCCTTGCACTCGGAGGCGCCAAGTAGGGCTGTGCGGTTAACCGGTTATTGCATTCGGTTATTTCATTAACCGGCCGGTTAAGTTAATGCCTTTTCCGGTATAGGTTAACCGAATAACCGACAAATACGGTTAACCGGCCTTCGGTTAACCGGTTTTAACGTCATGCTTAGTTGCATAATTGTTTCGGGAGACCACCTATATACTTAATTTATATGGAGTTTTCTAATTTTGGTAATAGACTATTTCAGCGGAGCCGAGAAGAAGAACAAAAGGCGAGCGGGCCACTTCCGGTTGGGTCACAACTAACAGACGACGCGTTGGTTTTCTACCTACCAGCGGTTCAAACATGTTATTTTCACTCGGAGGGTCTCAAATATAATGGTAAGCTTTAAAACGCGGCGTAACTTTCAAAAAGAGATTTTCGGCGATTTTTAAATCCTCTGTTGTCTGTTTGTTGTGACCCAAGCGGAAGTGGCCCGCTCGCCTTTTGTTCTTCTTCTCGGCTCCGCTGAAATAGTCTATAAAAACCTGTATATGATCCAAAGGTAATTTTTTTTCTAAATTGCTCCGATTACTTTATCGTGTTACACACAATTTGTTTCGTAAAATTTCACTTTTTAACCTAACCGGTTATTTGAGAAATTGCAATAACCGGTTATTGTGGGTGCCTTTAAAAACCGGTTAATTGACAAACGGTTAACCTGGAAAGAATCCGGTTATTTCAGTAACCGGTTATTCGGTTAGAATTCCAATAACCGCACAGCCCTAGCGCCAAGGCCGGCCAAGGCCGCGACACGGCGGCCACGGCGGCGCTCCCCGTGGCCACGCGGCTGACGCGGCGCAGCGCCGCACCGACGAGACTTCCGCGGTCCGCGGTCCGCCTCGTTCGGGGATCAATCATTGGCAGGTGCGGCGCGCTATGGAGCCGGCCGGCCGAGCGCCAGTGTCTCTCTCTCGCACTCACGGGGTGTCCATTGTGGGTGCGAAGGAGACAGCCCGACGGCGCCTCCCACTCGCAGTGGGCCTGCACGTGCGCGGCGTGCGTCGTGAATCACTCTCTCGCTTCGGCCGGACTGCTGCGGCCTCGCGGTCTCGCGTCTTCCTGGACGGATTTCATCATGCCGCGCTCCCGGACCAAAACACCAAAACACGACTTGTTTGTGTTTGAACTCGCGTCTGCTTGGTTTTCCAGATCGCCGTCGTGTTCGCGTGCCTGGTGGCCGCCAGCTCCGCCCAGCTGCTCGTCGGCGGGCTCGGTGACACCACCTGGTCCCACGAGTCCACCGCCCAGCAGCACTCCCCCTGGGCCGCCAGTGCCAGCACCCGCTCCCAGGTGCACGGACCCGACGCCGCCGTCGTGGCCGCCGCCCCCATCCTGACCGCCCCCGTCGTCCACCACAGCCCCCTGATCGCCGCCGCCCCCATCGGGTACGCCGCCCCCCTCGTTCACTCCGGCCTGCCCCTCGCTTACGCCCTGAGGCGTTGAGCGGCAAGCCCGTGGACGCGCGGCTGGCGTGACGTCACAGCGACACCGGAGTGACGTCATCACGCCGCGCCCTCGGCGGACGGCGGCGGCGGGTTGTCCCTGAGCGCTCAGCCGCCGATGTCTGCCTGCAGCAAGCCGCGGACTGGACGGGACAGACCTCGCACACCGAGGTGGTCCCGGCTTCTCTCTCCGTTACGGCTCTCCGCTGCTCCTCTCCCTGGCTGTGTTTAGCCGCGGTCGCGGGTGGGACTTCCCCGGGACTCCGCGGGCCTGTGGTGGCGCGCCCTGCGGCCTCGGTCCGAAAGGCTCGCGCCCCCACGAGCGCCCCGTGGACCCCGAGCCCGCCCGCACCGCGGCGCCCTCTGTCTGTCTTTTCATTTCAAAAATAAATTATTGTGATATTCCCACGCCAGTCACGTGCACGTTCTCTCAAGGCCCAATCGAATCTCCACACTCTCTTGGGCGCGGTCCAAAAATCCAAACGGTTGACGCGGTTAGGTCTACAGGTGTTGGCTCTGGCTCATGAGCGCTGGAAGAACCTTTCGAGTCACAGCCCCGCGCAATTCGTCCTAATATTCCGGGTTTCACTATGATCGAGCGAGCCATAAGATCAGAACAGAATACAAACATATCCTGTAAGTGTAAGGCAGTAGAGTATTTTCTAAATATTATAGATACAACTCTTGGCGTCAAATGTTTATTCCACTTTGTTGTCTACAGAGGATTGTACAGCAGTAGGAAGTCACAATACAATCAGTGTTAACAGTCATAGGAAGGCAACGTAACATATTTTACAGAAACAAAAATGTGCAAGAAGCACATATTTCTCTACAACATGGAAAGAATAAGGATAGACAAGTAGGAAACATAAGCTTTATAAAATCACATCAGAATCTCAGTCTGCAAGGCAATGGATTCAATCTATAAAAGAAAACAAAAATTTTAAAAAAGGAAAAAAAAATCAAAACAAAAAATTAAAAAACTGGTATCTAAAAAAGTCTTCTCAAACTGGAAAATGAGGCAAGTTCAAAAGCAAACAAATATACATTATGTGAAGGCTGTATTACTGTTTATTCCTCCTGTACCAAAATTTTGAATGCTCAAAACTAATAATCAAGCTCACACCTTAGACATGTTCCTTTTGATTTTCCTCAAGGATTTGAGAAGATCTTGAATTCATCTAAACGAAGTTCACAAACTGAATTATGGAATATATTCCCCACAGGAGGACAGTTCAAAAGTTGAACTGACATCTATTGGGCACAGTTTCAATGTGAAATTGATTGAAACAATGCTTAATAGAAGTCATTTCAACAACCATTTAGGATAGAATAGAGTGAGTTATTCAAACAAAGCTCATTAACTTGTAGAAGTTGCAGTCTGGATACAATGTCAACCTCAGATTCCTAAAATACAAAAGCACCAAAAGAATTCTTGTAAAGTTTCCTAAGCTGACTAAATGTTGCTTGTTCTGGAGAAACAAAAACTCAGCTTGGATATATAATATGTTAACAAAGCAATATACTGAAGTTAAAAATTTCAACAAAACATTCATAAGTAGAGTCACTGGCCATAATTGATCTAAGAGTCAAACTCCATACACAGATAAATTTTCTTTGCAGTCAGATGAACACAAATTTTATTTAAAAAGTCATAAAAACTTCATATGCTCTTTGAGCATTCAGTATTAAAGCTTAGATTTAACAGAAAATGATTCAAACAAATAAATAATCATACAATAACTGCCACATAATAAAATACTTAAGTTAGGGAGTATTAGTAAATCTTGTTTACAAGAATACTCTCAAAGATAACAATCACATAAAACATTATATATTTGTTGACACTTAATACTATTAATATAATTTTTTAACGATAACAACAAGAAAGTTCTCAGGGGAAAGGAAGCAAGTAGCCTTAATTACAGCATCACATTCAAACAGATCATACTTTCCTCATAGCTTTGTTCTACTTTTTGAAAAGAATCCCTTGCTACATGGATGAAAGAGAAAAGAAAAGGTAACAAAAGATAAAAGAAACAGATAAAAATATCTTTTAGAAACAATCTTTTGGCTTAGTTCAGAAATCAAGAAAGCAACAACCAAAAATTTACACTGGCTTTACCTTTTATTTTTAATCCAGCCAGCTGAAAAGGTGCTATAAAATCCCCTAAAGGCATTTGCGTTTTCAGCACCCATTTGCAGGCTGTGAATGAAAGGAGTGCCTCGTATCACATCACTTGTTTCAATGTGCAGCAATTAAAATTACTGAGCCTTTTCAAACGTGCTATGGTTATGGCTGACCCAAAAGGATCCATCAATTACTAAAATTCAGTCATGCAAATATGGCCATTAACGCAGGTTAAAGGCGAGTCTCTGGGTCTGCGAGGGTGTCAACTGAGGCCCCAAGCTTTGAGCCACAAGGCTTCTCTGAGGGTGAAATGGCTTGACGAATGTCATCTCGAAGACGAAGGAGTACCCGTCGTACGTCTCTATTTGTGTGAGGTGCTACACGAAGTGCTTCTTGGGCATCGTCCAAAGCCTCATCTAAAAGCCTGAAAGTGGAAGATCAAAGTGACATATAGTTTAAAAATTTACAAACTGTATCATGGGAATAATGAATTGCTGCTGTAGTAAGTTCTTACATCAGGTCAATATTTGCCTTAGAACGGGCATAGAGAGCTTCATAACACCCTGGTTTTAACTTTACAACTTGGCATGCCAAGTCCTTTGCTTCTGCAGCATCCTAAAACATTTATATAAAATTAATTAAATTACAATACTACCAGCAAGAAAATGGAGCTGCTGACAAACAGGGACTTACATTCATCTTTCGTTTGCAGCGAGACAAGTTCAACAAAAAGTTAATTCGTAACTGCTGGAAGGTTGCTATGTTGTCACCGGAATCACCCAACTCTGCTTCAGTGGGAAACTTTTTCAGGGCATATGAATATCTGTGAGAAGCCTCTGTCAATCTGAGCTTGCGGTAAAGAACGTTGCCATCTTCCAGGAGCTTATTGAGAAGAGCCAGCCTAAGGATACATAAACATGTTACTTTGACATCATCAGAAATTTACTTGCATTAACTGCATCTTGTGCAAAACAAACTTACATAATTTCTGGTTTGCCAGCGGCCATGGCCCAAGTTGCTGGACCCAACTTCGCTCCTTTCCTCAAGAAACACTGCACCACCTGAACATTTCGACAACCAATTGCCCTGTCCAGGGGACGCATGCCATGGATGTCAACATGTTCAATCAAAGCACCTTTCTCCATCAACAATGTTACAAGAGCAGCATTTCCTTGAAACGCAGCAAGGTCCAACGGTGTGCGTCCTGTTTTATCTGCATGATTAACTGCTGCTCCCCTTTCAACAAGGCACTGTGCAGCTTGGAGGCGGCCGCGAGCACAGGCCCAGCTAAGTGCTGTCAGACCGTCTTTGTCTTGAGATGTGTTGCAGGCTCCTATCAAAGTACAAGATGGTATAAGAAACATGAAGATTCCGCTCTGATTAGTTAATTGTCAATTGTACCCACCTTTATCGAGCAGGAGCTCGATTAATCCCACATGACCCTCAGCAGCCGCAAGCATCAGCGCAGTCCTGCCACTGGTATCAGTCTGCTCCAAGGGCGCATGATGCTGCAATAGCCACTCAGAGGCCGCCCAGTGGCCCTCTTTCACTGCTAGGAGAAGTGCTGACAGTTCCTGTCAAATCAATCAATGTAAAAAACTTTTAAAAAAGACCAACTGAAATTTTAAATTGCATTGTGCCTCCATGAGCAGACAAAGTTATCAGCAAAATCTGGCCAAGGCATCATACCTTTCTGTTTGTAGTTGAAATAGTTGCTCCTCGCTGGATGAGTGTTGATATGACATTGTGGCATCCATTCATTGCCGAAATTGTTAGAGCTGTTTCTCCAGTGAGTGTGTCTGAGACATCTACTTGGACTTCAGGCATATCCAGCAGATACTCCACTAACTAAATAGGAAGAAACAAAAAATATAAAAAGTTTCTGCTGCTATTTTCCAAGCTGTTCAATATCATGAGTCCATCAAGAATATCACAATAAACTTCGTAAACCAAAAGCTTTTAATCCCTCCTACCTCATTATGGCCTTGGGCAGAGGCAGCGATAAGAGCTTGTTGAACAGCTTCTCCCAAGCTGACTTCGCTGCAGTTGTTGACGACCCAGTCGCAGCTTAGTAAGTATCCGGCTACCTGCAGACAGCCACTTCGAGCTGCATGGACCAAAGGACATTGACCAGCCATATCAGCATGGCCAAGACTAGCTCCAGCAGAAACAAGCTGCCGGACAACCTATTCAGGAAAGCAGAAAAAAATTAACAAAAACTAGAAAGATACATTGATTAAAAAAAAAAAAAAAAAATGCAACTTTGCATGTAATTGAAACAAAACAAAATTTTAGTACAGTCAGCATGAGAACCGCAATAGCACTACTACTGACCTCAGCATGGCCTCGCATGGCAGCAAGGGACAAGGCAGTGCAGCCCTGACTGTTGGTTTGTTCCACATCCGCACCAAACTCCAGCAGCAGCGACACCATTTCAGCATTGCCCTCGAGAGCGAACATGCAGAGGGCAGGGGCCCTTCCATGGAAGTCAGTCACAGTGTTGGGGTCAGCGCCAGACAGCAATAGAAGCCTTGACACTTTGACATTTGGATTGTAAATGTTCCGCAGGGAACACAGTGCAGCAGATACATCAGCTGAGCTCGTTGAGACCCAATGAGCTTGCAGTTCCCTTGAAGAATAGCGATGCAAAGTCATATTCTTGTACAGATGGGCCTTAAGAATATGGTGGCCCAGCTCTAAGGTGTGCTCTTCACCCAAAGGTGCCTGCACTCGAGAAAGGCGAAATGCTATCCCTGCATGGCCTGCTCTCAAATCACACATAAATTTACTGCTGTCCTTCTCGTCTCTGAAAGAACATATTAAAAATATAAATAAAGCTTCAATTAAGTTTTTTTACCAAAGTCATGTGAGTAAATAGTTGAGAAGACATGCAACGTACCTTCGAATCAGCCATTCTCTGAAGGATGGGTGGAAAAACATGTAAGTATTGTCTCTGCGTTTGACTAAAAGGCCAGGTGCAGCTAGCATATTAAATCTTTGGACAAACTCTTCCCACGCCAAATAAGAATCAGTGAGTAGAGCATTAACAGAATAAAAAAGTTCCAGCAATGTCAGAGGATAGAGCGCTGCTAGGCACACACTCAGAATTGGCTGAACCTTTTCAAAAGATCTCAAAGTGGGAAACCGCAGATTGAAATGCAGTAAAAATATTTCAGCTAATGTAACAGGCAACACCTGAAAGGAACAATAGTTTAATTAAATGTTAGGTAAAATTGTAAACATGGAAACAAAGAAATTAATCAGCAAATTAATTCTTTAAAAAATTATAACAGACTCACTTTATATGAAGATGACTTCACCACTAGATGGCCCCTTTCTATGAGGTCTAATGTAAGTTTGGCAAACAAGAAGGATCCCCTTGCTAGACCTGAGAGATGTTGGCAAAACCGGCTCTGCTCTGTTTTTCCCGAAGGGGTACTGCTGCCTGAGGTTGATCCTGAGCTGCCACCAATGTTGCTCTGTATACCAGGGGAGTTATTCACTCGGTAGGTTACATAATCATGTAAGTCTTTCTGTAGATTGTCATTATTGTTCAATTTATCAAGGCTGCAATTTAAAAACAAAAGCATTAATGAATGAAGGAGCACACACATAAAAAACAATCCACCAATATACTAAAATTATCTTGAGGAAAATTCTCACCTAATATTATGGAAAGGAAGGCCAGCTGACACTTCCTGTAACTGTGTCCTTACAGTAACAACAACTTTGAGCCAAGGAGGGAAATCAGGAATATGTTTCGCAAGGAAAGAGCCTAAGGAAAGCCCATTATCTGTTCGATGATATTCTGCTTCACCAATGGCATCGATCAATATTAGACAAGTATCAGGTGGAATCTTGCCAACCCTTCTGAGAGAGCTGAGGGGTTCCAGAACACCTCGACTAAGAGCCAAATCGGGATTTGCGATGCATTCTCTCATGCAAATAGCATCCTGAAGAAACAAAAATGTTAATTTTATCGTTAAAGACAACACACTTGTTACCAATATCTTATTTTCAAATGTTAAAAAAAATGTTACTCTTTGTTTATTTAAGTATTAAACTTACCTGCAAATGTGGTTCACTTTGAAGAAGTTCACGATATGCAATTAATTGAGGAGCTTGGCATAGCTGAGCAGCTATTGAGTGAATAAAATCTGGTACTAGACAGCTACTTTGATTGTCGACTTGACAAAAGTGATAGGCTACAACATGAGCTGCAAGATGACGCAGAGCTAAGCGTTCTGCTACACGTTCAGATCGCTCCCAGACTAGATGAGGATGACTGTAAATACCCTGAGTACTATCATCAGGCATATTTTCATGGTCTAAAGGAAAAACAAGACAAAAACTAATTGATGACTTTTTCTTAACAAAAAATGCACATTAATTAATTAATTTGTTAACGCACCCTGGTATAAAGGTTCATGCCTTCTTCCAAAACAGCTATAGTCTACTAATTGGAGCACCATAGCAGTTTTACCAGTTCCTTGATTACCAGAAATTATAATTCCCTGGTCATGAGACTCCAACACCTCCGCCAAATCTCGCACCAGCCAGTGTCTCCCAATGAAAAGGGGTTCCGCTTCTTGAAGAGGCACTTCGAAGAAAAGTGGCTTCAGAGTAACTGGCTGTTGAGGTGGAGGTCGGTATGCAGCAAAGCGAACTGTTGTGAAAAAGTTCTGGTTAGTTTAAAGTACCAGGCTGGGCGACCTTAATGAGCACCTGGGAAACTGCTGGGACCTCTGCAGTACTTACTCTTGGGATCTATAGGACCTTTTATGGTGCCACTTCGAGCAGACCTCCGAATTGAGTTCCTCCTCTCTCTGAACAGTCCAAGTTCCTCAATATTTCCAGGTTGAGAAGCTGGTGGCAAAAATAGAATTAAAATTTGACACCTGATGTATAGAGGGTCGAAACGGAGAAGAAATCAAATGGAGAACTTACTTGTTACAGAGTGGCGTCTGGTGACAGGACTAGAAGACGCATTGCTATGGGCTGACATAGACATCAATGAAGTTATGCTGTCAGAGGATGGCTCTTTCATGGACCTCAGATGTGTGTCAGCCTCAGAGGAACCTACAATTTGAGAAAAAAAAATTGTTTTAAAATATTTTATGTAGCAGAATATAGGTATTTAAAAAAAAAACTAAACAGAATAATAACGCCCAAAACGAAAAGCAACAACTTCTAGACCCTAGTACATTGCATCATCATCATCAGCGCTGTTAGGCCTCAACAGACCTTTTCGCGACCAGGTAAATTCGTTCGGTATAACACCAGGCACGCCGAGAAATGTACTAGGGGCAAGAGAGAATTTTTCAGGGCGAGGATTTGAACCCGCGGCTTACCCGTGAGGGTGGACACCGGACTGGTGTTGCTGGACTGCAGGTGCTGGTGCGCGTCCAGGCTGCCCAGGGACGAGAAGGAGGCGCAGGACTCCTGCAGCGACCCGTACCGCTTGCCCGAGACGGAGCCCAGCGTGGAGCCATGGTTGGAACCGTGGTTGGAACCGTGGTTGGAACCGTGGTTGGAACCGTGGTTGGAACCGTGGTTGGAACCGTGGTTGGAGCCGTGGGTGGAGCCCCGCTTGCTGGAGGCGCCACTGGAGGCCCCACTGGCCGGGCGGAGAGGCAGCTCCGGTGACGCGGGGTAGTGCACCTGCGCGGCCGTGGTGACGGTGCTGGCGCTGCCGCCGTGCTGGCCGTGCTGGGCGAGGCCGCTGTTGGAGGAGCCCAGCAGCAGCCCCAGCCGCATGTACAGGTCGCTCTGCGCGCTCTGCGCGGACTTGCAGCGCGCGGCCGCCGCGCTCGTCAGCGGCTTCACAGTGTCGTCGTCTGCAACCGGAAAAGGCAATCAGTCGGCGGAACGAGAGGGAATGTGAAGGAAGGGTCCACCGATCGAGGACAGATTATGGGAGAGATGATGGCGCAAGGTGTGTAGTAGTGAAGCAGTAAAACCAACTCGCCAGGAAGATCAGCCGTTTTAGTCGTGTCAAAAAATTGAGTTAAGAATGAAAGTAAATGAAACTTAGTGGACGCCCTCTTCGACGAGGGGTTGTCTGTCCGCGACTGAGAGGCGGTGACTACTGTAATTCCGTGGGGAAGGCGTCGATAGGCAAGCCCGCAACACCGCACAGGGATCTGGGATTGCTATTGTTATTGAAGACTGTGCCACAAAATATCGTTTGCTCAAACGACTCATGTCTGGTATCTGAAACCACTCCTGGCTAAGGAGTCGTCGCAGGATACCAGAGCGACACCATAAACGAAGCATGGTGAAAAAGCACACTCTTTTCAGTCAAGCTCAAAACGCACAGCCACACGGAAACAACTGTTAAATCACACTACGAAAATAATAAAAAGAATAAAACCCAGGGAAAAACATAAACAACAACAACAACAACAATCACAAGAAAAGAAATTTCACGCTGTATTATTCGAGATGATAAGGTGAAGAGCACCGTGTTATGGAAATGGGCGGGTGAAATAAATTAAACGGCACGCATTGTGTGGCGCGTGGGAGAGAGACAGCGAGAGCGGCGAGCGGCGCGGCCGAGCGTGACATAGGGGCTGCAGGCTGCAAAGCGCCAGACTTCACACACGGCCACCGCCGCCACCGCCGCCACCACACTCGCGGCGCAAAGCCAGGCCACTTCACACAATATCCGCATCAGTATGCATGCATGCACTTGGGCCTGCCCTGCCAGGGCCCTGCCAGGGCTCGGTCGTAGCCTTGATGACTACAAGTTACAGGCACCCAAACGGCAACGGTACACCCGCTCCGTTCCACGACTCGGGCGCCGATCCAGGGAGGAGGAGGAGGGGGTGTGATGCTTAGGCACTAAAGTACCTAGGCCTGTAAGTAAGCAAAAACCCCTGCTACCCTCCTTAGGAGAAGCCTGGGTCCGCGCCTCTGCCACGATTGCCTACCAGTCCCGAGTTCTGCGTGCCCTGGATAGGCAACCATGCACTCTAAATTTCCTACTGAGAAATGCCGTGCAGTCATAATACTGAGCTAATTCTCAGTACTTTACAAGACTAATCTGTCATAATACAGAGAAATTTGTCCGTAATATGAAGAAGCTGGTCATAACTTGTTGAAAACTCTTCACCATAGGTTACTACCCTCGCTGCGCAGTCATAATACTAAGCTTTTTGTTCGTATTACGAAGAAAAAGCTCAGTAGGATATTGGGAGTGTGGAGGCCGAGGACCCGGCTCTGGTATTAATGGTTAAAATTCTTCGGGAGTCAGGCCACAAACAAGGGAAACAAACGCAAGCGAATGGAAGCTTGGAACGCGCCGTGCCTGCCAGTTGGTTGATGCCGGCGCCGCTGCTGCCCGACGCGCCTCCCACCGACCAGAGGGACTTGATCTTGCCCAGCACCACGCTGCGCCAGTGCCGCGCGTCGCCCGCCATGGCCGAGGTGGTCATCCACACCGCTGTCAAGCACACCATGGTCATGTACCACCGACTGCCGCGGTGCACGCAGCACCTGCCCGCCTTAGGCCGCGTGCAGTCCTACATTCAGACCTCTGGGGAGGAGTTGGCCGAAACGACCACGGGCCAAATTCGCGACAGCGAAATGAGAAATGGGAGAGCTTCACGAAAGGCCCGTTGACGACGTCGCCACGGAAGCAATGCTCACCGGAGAGGGCGTTCTGCGAGTCCTGCGAGTCCTGCTGCTCCTGGGCGCTTTCCTGCGAGCGCCGGAGTCCGAGCCCCCACGGCGAGCGCAGGAAGAAGCGGCGCCTGCTCTGCGGCGGCGTCGGGCAGCCTGCGGGCAAGTCCACACTTAGAAACGAAACCACCTTCCACGGCACGGACACACTGGAAAAACTGGGGCGTAGTGCTACTCCCGCGTTTTTCAAGCATGTTTCACCAGTGCAGGCCAACTTGAACTTGGACTTACTCTGCGTCATGGGGTCGATCCTGGGCCGGTGGCGCGGCAGCCTGCCTGGGCTGGGCGACATGGCGGGGGACATCGCCGGCGACGGCGACCGCGAGCCGTCCTGGGCCTGCAAAAAACAGTCACCGTGTCATCCAGAGTGTGGGGTCCGCGGGGGCCACGACGGCGGCTAAGACAGTGGCTAAGACAGCGGCTCGGACGGCGACAACGTCGGTGGAGGCGGCGGCATGGCGGTCTGTTCGGCCTGCTACTCGGCCTGCTCGGCCTGCTCGCGGCTTTCAGGGGCAGCAGCGCGCCGCGACCGTCGCGTCGGCAGCGCTTCACCGCACACCGCCCATTACAGTGGCGGCCAAGCAGACTGATTCCGAGGGTCGTTTTCGTCGCTCTGTCGCTCTCGCGCCAGTAAGGGACGCCCTGTGAGCGCGAGAGAGACAGAGCGGCTCTCGGAGTCAGTCTGCTGTGCCGCAGCACCGCCGGCACCGCCAGGCACTGCAGTGCATTCCTGGCGACTTGTCGTTTTGTTTCGAGGGGCATTACACTGCCGCTGCCTGGCTGCCTGGCCGAGCGTCTCGGCCGAGGCAAGGCGAGGGGCCGCGCGGCACGGCGGCAGAGCGGCACAGGACCCAGGCTTCCGGCGCCCCCTCTCCCCCTCCCCTCCAAGCAGCGAGCCGAGCTTGGTGAAAGGGGAGAAGCGCGCCCCGATCCCCAGCCGATTTTCCGGGTCGCCCCTTCCCCCTCCCCCGCCTCCATCATCATCACCATCATCTTCGTCATCCGGCCGCGGCGACAGAGCGTGAACGAAACAACCTGCGCCGCTCGCCCGGCCCGTCCGGCCCGGCCGCCGCCACTGGTAATTGAACAAGCGGAGACAAACGCAACAACAGCCGGGCGTCGAATTACGGGAGGCGCCCGCGGTCCGGGGCGACCTAAACGGGGCGGTGCGGCCCAGGGATCGCTACGCCGCTAGACTGGTTCCGAGAGTCGCTTTCGTCGCTCTGCCTGTCTCGCGGGGCGTACCGTGTAGGTGCGGGAGAGACAGAGCGGCGAAAACGACTCTCGGAATCAGTCTACTGGTGGCGCAGGCCGGCGCGGCGAACTTCCTCGTCTCGTTGTACGCGGATGCCGCCAAGACGGGGGCTGGTGCCTCGCTGTGGGGCCGGGCCATGGGCTGCTATGGGCTGCCATGGGGCGTGACAACCCCGCGCCGCGGCCATGCTTTGGGCCATACGGCCATGGGAGCCACGAGGGGCGCCACGTCCGTGGGAACGCTCACGACGCCGCCGGGCGGTACGCAGCAGGTCCTGCGGGCCTGCGAGAGCGACAAGGAACGCACCGCCGAGCCCGGCCGGCTGCAGGCCGGCGGCAGGCCGGCAGCCCATGCCCTCATGTCTTGGCCGCGCCGAGCCGCGCCGAGCCGAGCAAAGGTCAGCGGGGTTCTTACCGGCGGCTTTTTCGCATTCCCCGAACAAAATCTAGTTCTCCTCTCCACTCTGCGACTTTTTATTTTACTTTTTTAGAGCGTACCAGCGCACTGTACCGAAAGGTCACAAAGCAATTGTCTGTTCGCCGCCGCAAGTGCGCGACCAGCTTGGCCAACATGCCCGCCGTTCGGGCGGCGCCCTGTCTAGCCCTGTGTGGGGACGGGAGGCGCTTCAGTCTCACAGTGGCGGGGACGGGGAAGTACCGAAGGGCGGGGAAGGGTTCAGGGAGGTGGAGGGGAGGTGGAGGGGGACCACCCGCCGCAGTGGGCGCGGCGGCCCGGACACGGCGACAGGGCGCGGAGGGGGACAAGAGCGCATCGCGGGAACCAAAGAGAACCAGAGGGAAGCCCACACGGATGTGCGACGGAGACGGAAATACTCGGAGCGTCGAGCCGCCAAAACCGAAGGAAGACGGGCGCACCTCCCCGCACAGTGGGCCAGAAGACCGGCGGAGGCGGACGCAACTCTAGACGCGTTTTGAGCTCCAGAGTCGCTAAACCGGCCTCGAAACGAACGTGTGACCCCACCAATTGATTCCTCGTTCGGAGAGCAATCCATTATGGAGTCACACGTTCGGTTCGAGTCCCATTTAGCGACTCTGGAGCTCAAAACGCGTCTAGAGTTCTGTCCGCCTCCACCGGTCTTCTGGCCCACTGCGCCCGTCGCCTCAGTGCCACTCACGCACCTGCATGTAGCTGGTGAAGTGGCCGTTGCGGCCGTTGCTGCGGTTCCGCGCCGCCGTCTTGAGCTGGAGGTCCTTGGCGTCGCGGACGTCGCGGATCTCGTTGTAGATGGGCTGGATGTCGTTGGCCATCACGCCGCTGCCCATGCTGGACTTCTTGGCGGGCAGCTCTGTGGGGACAGATGAAAGTACTTATCCTCCGCTACTTCGTGCAGACAAACTTTGACAGTGCTACGCGGTGCTGCGCGGTGCTGCGCGGTGCTGCGACACTCACCATTGATGCTGCACTGCGGGCAGCTCTCGCTGCGCACCAGGCAGTCGTAGCAACGCTCGTGTCCGCACGAGTCCGTCAGGCGCCTCTTCTTGCCCTTGTCGAACGGCATGTGGCAGCTGGGGCAGTACTCGAGCGCCTCGACCGCGCTGCGGAGCTGCTCCAGATCTGCAACAACAACAACAACAACGTCAGGCCGCTGTTCAGCGCAGCGACAAGGACCAGCGGCAGCAACAACAACGGAGTGCAACAAGCCTGCTGCAGAGCGCAGTGAAATGTATGCCCGTTCGGCAGGACATCCCCGGCCGGCCGCGCGAGGCTCAGCGCACTCGCGCTGTAAATCACTGGCCGGGAGCGGGGGGAACGCCGCGCCTCGGAACGCCTCGGAACACCCTCGGAACGCCCTCGGAACGCCTCGGAACGCCTCGGAACGCCTCGGAACGCCTCGGAACGCCTTTGGAACGCCCTCGGAACGCCTCGGAACACCCTCGGAACGCCTTTGGAACGCCCTCGGAACGCCTCGGAACGCCTCGGAACGCCTTTGGAACGCCCTCGGAACGCCTCGGAACGCCTCGGAACGCCTTTGGAACGCCCTCGGAACGCCTCGGAACGCCTGGGGACGCCACGGCGCAGCCACGGGTCCGGAGCGGATGGCGGTGCAACAGGCGCATGCACCAGTTGCCCGAGGGTCCCGAAGGGTGGCGCGCTATTGGCAGAAAGACTTACGGCGCCGCGAAACGCTCGCCCCGCTACGGGTCGGGCCGTTCTGGGCCGTTGCAGCCGATGCGGGTGAGAGAGACAGAGAGACGCGTCCCTCATCGTCACCCCGCCTCGTCGCACAGTCAGTCACACAGTCAGTCGCACAGGCAGTCACACGCACCGAGTGCGTTTTCTCAGACGGCCATTTTTTGTGCCGTCGAGACACCAGCAGCAAGTACCGGGGGCATCAACGTAGACGCACTGCGTTGCGTGTCCCATGCCCCCCCCCCTTTTTCCTCCCGGTGGAGATTATTTTTATTTTCATTTCGTCGAGCGTCGCGCCGCGCCGCCCCCTTGTGGTTTAGTGAAGGCTGTAGGAAAGAAGTTCATCAACGGATGATGTTTTTTTTTCGCCCTTCACGGCCCTTCATCAATTTTTTTTTCTCTCATATTGGGATATGAGACGACGAGCCCCTCCGCAATTATATTTGTGTACTCCAGGCCGACCGGACGGCGGGCGACAATTGGAGAGGAAGGCGAGAGAGGCGAGACGGCGGGGAAATTAGGCACGCAGACTGGCAGTGTGGCGGTGGGGGGCTCGCCTACTTAGAGCCAGCCATTAATTAATTATTGCGGGTGTGAAGAATTACGGAGGGCGGACACACCGGACGGACGCGGCTACACTGTCAAAATTTGAGTCGTCACTTGATGACAATTTCAAGGCTAATTTTCCTTACAACAATGTCATCAAATCAAATTGATGACATTGTTGTCACGCCCATGGAAAAAGTACTTACAGCGTTTGGCGATTCCTTTTCCACCGGTCTTTGCAAAAACTCACACGTCCTACGCGTGCAATTCCGTCCATTTCTCTTGTCATGTTTTCGGATTGCACCACGTTGCTCACTCGGCCAATGCGTCGCCTCGCCTGGCCCACGCGGCAAACGCCTCGCAGTGTCGCGGCATGGCATGGCGTGGCGTGGCGCGGCACAGTGGGCCAGAAGACCGGTGGATGCGGCCAAAACTCGACACGCGTTTTGAGCTCCAGAGTCACTAAAAGGGACTCGAACCGAACGTGTGACCCCACCAATGGATTGGTCTTCGAACGAGGAATCCATTGGTGGGGTCACACGTTCGTTTCGAGTCCTTTTTAGCGACCCTGGGGCAGAAAACTCGTCTAGAGTTTTGGCCGCCTCCACCGGTCTTCTGGCCCACTGTGCGCGGCGCGGCGTGGTGCGGCATGCCGTGGCGCGGCCCCGCGACGCATCCGTCTTGCCGCTAAACCCATAAACACCGGCGGCAGCCCGTCCGCAGGTCGGGTCGGGCTGCTTGGGCTGGCTATGCTGGCCGGGCAGACGGCCGTTAAGCCCCATTCCCATCTCGATAGATGATTATGCCGTAAAGGCTTCTCTGCGCGTTACGGCGCCACTCGGGGCCGCCTCGCCACAAATCCCGAATCCAGCATCCAGCCACGCCACTGCCAAGGCGGCTAACGCGGCAAACGCGCCGAGGCGTCAATATTTGGACACGCGGCTTGCTTTTTCCGACCGGGCCACGCGCGGCCCGCACCCCGCCCTGATGGATCAGGCTTTAAAAAAAGCAGCCACAAGAAACACAGAAGCTCTCACCGCGCGTCGCAACGGTGCCGCCCATTGCCTAGTTAGAAAGGAGAAAAGGGGGGGGGGGTAGATGAGCACACTAGAAGCCTTTCTTGCTCTGCCTGGCTCTGCCTACGAAGCAAGCAGCATAGCACAACAGGTGGAACCAGGGCTAGTCGGCTGGCTAGGCTGAGAAAAATTCCGAAGTTAAGGCTAAGTAAAACTTAGTTCAGCGATGATCGACTTTGCGTTCGATAGACTGAAATCGACAGCTGCAGCCGAACATCCGATACTTGACAAATCTGGTCGCTACGACCGGACAACAAACTCCAAAAAAAGTTGTCCTCTTACAAATGTTTGGCCTGATGGTGCATGCACCTTTCGGTTGTGGCCAGCGGATTTTCGATCACAGCTGATTAAGTTAATCACCACAAACTATGTTTTTGTACGGGCGCCAGAGTCGTAAACTTAGTTCTAACACTCTAGCGGCCCGGCCTCGCTAACTGAATTAGCCGGCCGGGCGGCCATTCGTTACTCTTCGTCGTCTTCGCTTCCCAGCCGCTTAACTTTTGGCGCAGCGCGGCGCCGCGGCCCACCCGCGGAGCGCTGAGCGGGGCGAGCGGGCCCGGCCGCCCACGCCCCGCGAGGCCCCGCGCCTCTTTGCGGGATAAATCATAATTGGACGCCGCGATTTAATGGTACGCACGTCAACCGTTTCCGGCCGCCAGCTCGGGCTGTCCGGTCCGCCCCGCCTGCCGCCCCGCCCCCGGACTGCACCTACCGGCCGCGACGGCCGCGACCCGCTCGCTGGACAATCAGTCTGCGCCCATCGGCCTGCTTGCCGGTCTGTCTGTCTGTCTGTCTGTCTGTCTGTCTGTCTGTCTGTCTGTCTGTCTGTCTGTCTGTCTGTCAGTCCTTGCGACGCCTTCATCGCCTCCCAGTGCACCTGCCAACGGGAGCAGTGCCTCCGCTTCGCAGCTCCGCGCCGCCTCGCCACCAGACGGCTTGTCGCCGGATGCGTTTCGCGTGGGGAGTCCCAGTCCCCACTGGGGACGCCGTGAGTCACTCGCCAACGTTATTTCGCGTTATTTGGCGGACGACAGCGCTCGCTCTCTCTCTCTCGCACTGCAGCGGCGGGTTGGGCCTGCGGCAGCGCGCTCTCTCGCACTTGCACCGACCGGTCGGTTGGGCTACTGGATTGGGTATACTGCTCGAGGCAAATGATACGAGAAGATGCTTCGTATTACATACAAAGAAAATTTCTTCTACGGTTCATTTCTTCAGAACGAACGAACCGAACGAACTGTCACCGCTCAAACTGGCCTCGCGTGCGGACGAGGTTCAGCGCGCCGAGCCGCCGCCCGCTCGCGCTGGCGACCTAGGTTAGCGTTGTAACTAGTTTGTAAGCAATTCATAGCAACTTAAGCGTTCGCATGCTCTTCACTTCAGGTGACGACCGCTCGAAAGTCACGCGGTCCCACAAAGTATGGGTTATACCCTTTCCAGAGGGCGTCGTCCACCCCAAAGCATGAAGCACATCCCTCGGAGACCTTTCGCGCACACCAGAGCAGCGCGAACAAAACGCGGCACACTGGAAACACGTGTCCCGTCACACCTGCCTCGCCTCGCCACGCATTAGCACCGCTGTAGCGGTGCGCTGCCCACACCACCAAATCGCAGTGGAGCCAAACGCAACGCGACGCGGGGCGGCAATTAAACACATTACGAACAAAAGGCGGGGCGATTACGGCGGAAGCGGCCGATTAGCCGGTTAGCTCGGAAGGCTGCAGGCCGCCGCGCGCTCGGAAGGGAAGATCCCTGTCGCCGTCTCGTCTCGGCGTGGCGTGGCGGGGCGTGGAGCGTGGGCCTGCCCGGCCTGCCAGCGCGCGCGTGCCCAGCGTCGCCCGATGCGCCGTGACAAATGATGTCAGCGTAGGCCTCAATCCCCTCCCCGCCCTCCCTCCCCGCTCCGCCCCTAAAAGCCCCGCGTGCATATGAACTCCGCCCATGATCGATGAGGACAGGACAAAGTCCTTCCATCTCGTCTTTCTCCCACTTATCGAAGCGAAGCGCGCCGCGCGCGCAACACGCGTTCATCCCGAGAGGCGTTGTCGTCGCTCCGTCTCTCTCGCGCCCAAACGGGACGCCTCGTGGGTGCGAGAGGGACAGAGCGACGTAAACGACTCTCGGAATGAGTCTGCTGCCACGCAGATCGCGGGCACTTGCGTCCCCGGTGCCCTCCCCCTCCGTGGCCCCCGTGAGCCAGCCCTGCAGACTGATTCCGAGAGTCGTTTTCGTCGCTCTGTCTCTCTCGCACCTATCCGGCACACTCCACGAGTGCGAGAGAGACAGAGCGAGCAGGCTCGGACTGGCCAGGGCAGACAGGCAGCAAAATCTGCCGGGGCCTTTCGGGTTTCGGACCAGTAACGTCACAAAGTTGGTCAAAGAGTCCTAGCATATATAGGACGAAAGTAGACGTTTTCGCTGATTTTGGGCGGCCACTGCGTCCGATCTAATTGCGGCCAACGGCCTCCCTCGACGTCCTAGTATTCTTAAGACCCTACTCTTTCATGCCCTGTATCAGGAAGACGTTGACCACAACGATTTCGGCTTTGACCGCAACGATTTTCCGACCAAGTTCGTCAAAAAGTGGTCGAATCTCGGAAATTTGCTGATTTTGCTGACTTTAGGTAGCCACTGTGTCCAATCTAGTAGCCGTAAAAGGCTTCCGCCAGTACGACCTACCCCAGGGGAAGACGTTGACCACAACGATTTTGGCTTTGACCGCAACGATTTTCCGACCAAGTTGGTCAAAAAGTGGTCGAATCTCGGAAATTTGCTGATTTTGCTGACTTTAGGTAGCCACTGTGT